TTAACTTCCCCGCTATGAAATCTGTCAAATATTATACCTCACTTTCTAGTGGCGCCGCCCTGGTGGCAAAAAAAGTCGTATCTCGGTCGGACTCATTGACATGATTAAAAAGTAGTTGAACCTCCTGAGTGAAGCTTAAGCTGCAAAATTTTTACGGCTCACTGCATTAGTTGGAGGAGTACAAGAAAGGCTGAAATTCAAAAGGATACCTAAACGGTACCTAAAACGTTATTACAACGTTATTAACAGCGTTATTAGGGATTTTAATTCGAAAATCTTTTTAAACTCTCAATAAATATATGGTTTGGGATTTTTAAGGGTTCATAGCTAAACCATGTGATCGACTCCAGTCAAAAATAAATCTGGCATTTATTTACTGGGATCCTCAATGGTGGTTTGTAATTATATTTAGAGATTATTTGCATGATGTTTGGGATACAGTGGTATGGATAAAGATTGCGTATAAAAAAGGAATTAAGACGACGTCACGCGAAACCCCAATTACAATCAAGCCACCAAGAAAGTCTATCTTAGATACGAATTCTTTTCTATTTCTTTCATAGCAATTTATTTTAATTTTATAGAATAAGGGTGACAAACGAGCACACAGTCCACCTGGTGGTAATTATTTGCTGTACCCCATAGACATCTATATGTATCCTCAAGAATCAAATTTCTTAAGAATCAAAATGCAGATACGTTGTCACCCCTCAGAATGTAATGCCTCGTTTCCAGTAAAAAGGGTATCCGGATCTCTACAACACCATACGAAACAGCAGCATTAAGCTGCTTTTTATACGTTTTTTCCAATTGGTATTTCCAATTGGTTTCTTAGTTTACTCTATGAAAGCCGGCTCTTTAAAATTTAGATTAACTCTTAAACTTAAAGCTTAAACTCTCGCAAGTTTAAATTGTACATTCACAAGTATTATAGAAAGCGGTCACATAATTGATATACATATATCGGTTACATGTTATTTTAGATTCTAGATAATTGACCACACACCACATTCGTTAAAAACTGGACATAGACGAAACAGATGCACAATGATGAACTTGTTTTACAGTTATTTACAGAGTAAAGGTGATTAAAGTAACTGAGCAAGCGTCGCAATTTTTTTTCATGTGAATAATTTTGCTTTAACTTACACTAATTTGAATGTGAATTTAATAATATATGATAATTTTTAATTCTATTTAATGCAACACATTCATAGCTAGTTGATAATAAATAATCCCTGAATTAAATGTGGATAAAGTCGTTGACACATTAATTGTACAATAAACATTTAAATGTTATCGGTTACGTTTCATTCGCTATCACTTGAGCACGTGTTGTCTTTGCTTCTCAAACTTTTTACAGGGATATTAACAATATCCCTTATTATATCTTGTTAGTAGAGTTCAGAACTAGTTTTGTTTAGGAAGAATATATTCCAGCATATTTGTTATCATGGTATAGCTACGCTGTGGTTGTATTATGGTTGCAGCACGAATGGATCGGCTCTACTGGGGCAGAACTATACTCTTACAGAATACTCGTAGTCGTACCAGCGTAAAGTAGAGGCAAAATACTGCTGTGTTTCGTATGGAAATGTAGACTGTTTTTACTAGTAACGAAACATTATTTATTTTAGGCCTCAGGAGTGAACGCATGTGCATACTCATTCCTACTCTTTGATTCTTTGTATTGAACCATAGTATTCACTTATTATTGGGTGAACTGTGTACTCGTGTCAAACTTACTTTATAAAAAAAAATAACTGTTACTCGCAGCTTCGTCCGTGTTTCATACTATTGTATATTACGATATTGGATTTCATATTTTTTTAATTTTTTTGCGCAAAACCATAGTTCATTTTCTAAAATAAAAGTAGCCTAAATTACTCCTTATAACATCAGCTCCCAGCCAGTGAAAGTCCTATCAAAATCAATCAAGCTATTTCGGAGATTAGCCGAAACAAACAGACAGACATACAAAAATCTAAAAAAATGTTTTTTTTTATAAGTACCATATACAGTACTTATAAATATAATTTCATATGAATTTTGTAAAAAGCTGTTATTTTGACATTACAAATAGACAATTCAATTTAATTTATTTGTATAGATGATAAATAAATATCACTTATGTCGGGCATGCATAGAGTAAATGATAGTCATTAAAGCATATAAGCAACAGCCTACATACGTCGCATTTTATTTTTAAACCGTTGCAATAGTCATTAAAAGTAGGATTTCCAATGATTATATTTGGGTATTGCATGTTTTTCTATGGTCAGCTCTACGTAACTTGCTTATGTGTTTCTAGAGCACAAAATCTGCACGCGCGCACTTTTTCTGTTACATTTAGTTAGAATAATTTCTATAATAATATAAAATTCTTAAAATATATATTTTAAAGAATTTTCGATTACGTTACGTACGTTTTACAAAACACGTTACGTTATAATTCGTGGTAATTTTACGGTAAAATTCGTGGACTTTTAATTAAACGCTAAACGTTAACTAGTGCTTTATAAATCGAATAAAAGAAGTTGTGTAGAGCGCAATTTGAGCAACGCTGACCTACGAACAGACCTCATTATCACAAAACATCGATAGCCCTGACTGAACTTGTGTCTTGGTAACAATACCCTCTTAAAATATCTAAATGAACTATTCGATGAATGCATTAAAGAGATAACTACTAACTATTTGTGACCTGAGGAGTTTGTTTAGTTTGATCAATGAAATGTTTACATAATTATTTGTTTATTTTCTTTCATTAACGTGCTCTTAATATAATACTATAAATAGTTTATTTGATAAATTTTGAATGACTTGTATATTTATGCGAGACTAAAAAGCTTATTTATCTGTTAAATTAGATTGCAAGGTATATTTTGTTTTACGGTTTAAAAGTATGATTGACGAATTTGTATTTTATATGTAACCATAAAAGTCCACTACTAGGCATGGGTATTTTTTATAGGATATGATGACAAACGAGCACACAGTCCACCAGATGTTAAGTGGTTGCTGTGATCCATAGATATATACATCTATCCTCAATAAGGACTCAGAATGCAGATGCGTTGTCACCCTTGGGGACTAAGATGGAATGCCTCGTTTCCAGTAGAAAGGGTCTCCGGTTCTCTACACTCACCATACGAAACACAGCAGTTTTAAGCTGCTATTTTACGCTGGTATTCTGTGAGAGCGTAGATACCCATTCGTGCTACAACTATACTACTAATATAGCTGCAGCATGGCTCTACCACGTAAAAAACTCTACCATTTATCTCCCTGTATAGGAAGAACTTCACGCTTAGCAGACGGATTGAAGATCACAGTTCATTTAACTTTGACGTTGCCGTAAACGTGATGGTTATACCATCGCTTTTACGTGCTAGAGCCACGCTACATCTGTAGTATAGTTGTAGCTGTAGTTTTACGTGGTAGAGCCATGCTGCAGCTATATTAATAGTATATTTGTAGCACGAATGGGTCGGCTCGACCGGGGAAGGACCACGCTCTCACATAATACCAGCGTAAAATAGCAGCTTAACGCTGCTGTGTTTCGTATGGTGAGTGTAGAGAACCGGAGACCCTTTTTACTGGAAACGAGGCATTCCATCTTAGTCCTCACGGGTGACAACACATCTGCATTTTGATTCTTAATCGAGGGTAGACGTAGATTTCTAGGAGGCACAGCATGAACTTACCATCAGGTGAACTGTAAAATTCGTTTGTCACCCTCATTCTATAAAAAAAAAAACTAATGGAAGCTGTAAAATGTTTCTGATATTTCTCATTGTTGTATTTTACGACGCCCACACAGTACGAAGCTACGGTAGTTCCTCTAACGCCGGCTCTACAAGGAATTTGTATGCGTTTACGTATATTCCACGTCTCTTTAGCAATCATTATTTATTATTAAACTAGCGATCCGACCCAAATTCGCACGGTTGATTTCTGGATCTCGACAACAACGCCACCTACCGGGTCCAATTGTGAATCTATTAAAGTTTCCTCTTGAATCATTCTGTCTATTGATGAACAACGCATCAAAATCCGTTGCGTAGTTTAAAATACTTGAATGTGATGAAGTTTAAAAGATATAAGCGTACAGACTGCGAGAAGCGACTTTGTATTATACTTTGTGTGTAGAGATAAATGATTAACATAACATATAATTTAAAATTAAAAATGTTGTACAACCGTCTTCAATATACATTATTAAGAATAACTCTAAAACTATTGGTCAGACCTTGATCAAATTTATGCAGAACCACATGTGAAGCACCAGCTTTTAAATGAAAAAAGAATAATCGAAATCGGTTCACCCAGTAAAAAGTTATGAAGTAACACACACAAAAAAACATAAAGTCGAATTGAGTACCAAAAAATTTTAAATTTTTATTTCGGCTATAACTCCGTCTCCACAGGTTCTTACACCGTCTTTACTTCCTCCATCCCACTTGTTGTATCTTAGACCTAGTATTGACTTCTGCCAGAAAAAAAGTTACGTAACCTGTGGGGATCAGTTTTACACTAAATTCAGGTTTCTATTCAAAATCATTAAAGGTTCAAATAACTTTAAAACTAATGATGGTGTTTAAATCGAGAGGTTTTGTAGTCCATTAGTCCCTGTTTTGGATGATCTACCCATTTTATTATACCGCTTAATGAGAAGCTAAAAACCATTATTATCGTATAAGTATAATTTTACTTATCTCCTTTTTGAAGTTTGTAGAAAATAACATAAACGCTCACGCCCGTCACCCAGATGTTTAGGTAGAGACTACGGACTTTTATTTGTCCTCAGACATAGCTCTCTCGCGTGCTTTACATCCATATACCTATGCATACTCTCTGTTCGATTAAGGGTACTCTTAACTTGGCCCGTCTTCAATATGTCGCTAATTTGGTCGATAGCCTTCCGTCTAGGGCGTTCCTTGCCGACGCTTAGTGATTAAAAGAACCGTTGGATTAATACTTCTTTTCATTATCTCCAGGAACGACGCAACGCCGTTCATCAAGAATGGCAACACCGCTGTCATCACGAAAACACCTGTACCACCGACTTCTCAAAAACCCAGCAAGGCTGGTAGAGGGAAGGCCTACAGACAAGTGCTGGCCTCGTTTGTTGCCAACTTGGGTACCATGAATACCGGCATGGCGTTCGGTTTCTCAGCGACTGCATTACCGCAGCTGAAGAGTCCAGATTCCAGTATTCACATAACTGAAAATCAAGCTAGTTGGATAGGTAAGACTAGTTTTGAAGTCGTGTATAAAGTAAAAATTTTATTTATTGAGGTAATTACAATCAACAACAAATGTTAGTCTATAGCTAAACATAGGCTCTCCCAAGACCTGGAATATTTACCAACATTCACCATACTGGGCAGACTTGGGTTCGTAAGCATTTATGCATTTGCTGCTGATGCTAGATTTTTATAAGAGAACTTAAGCTAATCCACTTGGCTAAAATTACGGCTTAAGATAATCCACTATCCCATTTCATACAGTGGGTGCCGTAAGAGGCGGCAGAGGGAAATGAAACAGAAGGTGGGTAGCAGCACCTTCCTGATAACAACACAAAATATTAAAATACTATGGTTGCCATCCCGTCTGCTAAATGTGGCATCTATAGCAAATCCCTAAATGAGTTTTCTCTAGCAGTTGGAACACATGCTCGTGTATACCCTTAGTTCGAATGTTACATAGATACGCGACCCTGACTCTCAGAGCCACTACTGACTCTGTCATTCCTTCTAGGTCAGCAGTATCTTAATATAACATGTTCCTACTCTATGCAATATCAAAGCCATAATATCCTGTGCACTTTTACTCGGTAAACGTGATACTGGAGTTTTGGCGGGAAATTGACCGGCGGCGGTTTGCTGCTCCTGTATTATTGTTTAAATAATGGTTTGAAGTGGACTTTGATATATAAAAGTGTTGCGATTTTGTGTATTAAGTGTCTACGCATGTGAACTATTAGTGGAAACAGTGAAACAAGTGCTCTGATGGTGATGGATTCTCAAGATAAGCTGTTGCATAGGCACCTTTAGATACCATCGCCAACTATCAGCTGTCTGCTGGATCAAGTTGCCGCCAAAATCTCCCAAGAACTGCATAATGTGACGCACCAACATATTGTGAAGCAGTATACTATGAAGGAGTGGGGAAATTACAATAAACCGAATAAAAATACTTAAGACTTGGCCTAAAGGTCTATACCAGGCCATAAACTCCAAAAAAAAAAAAACAAAAAAAAAACGTGATACTATAATCATCTAAATTGCTCAGGGGATAGACAGCGGCATTTTTATTCAACATGAAATAAAAAATTACTGTTGCCAAAGCGTGTGCCAAGCGTGACAACTGTAGCAAACACCCCCCTCTCTTTGGGGACCTATATACCAAAGTAGTTTTGTGATGATGATAGTGCTAATGGTAGCCTGGTCGCTAATGGTTACGTACAGGCAATGAACCGTCGTCTCGATGATTTGAGCGTTCTCGTATAAGAATTTTGAAAGTGACCTCGATGGTTTTATTTACGCTGGCTTATTTTATTTTTAATGTCTGCCGATTGATTTTGTTCTATCGGGTAGTGCATTGAGAAACTTTAATCGATATTTTAGTTCAATATGTTCAGAAATACCATATCACCATTATATTCTTCAAACTCTGTATAGAAATAGGAAACTGCGTTTGTCAACCCGCCTGCAAAGCGTGGTAACTATGGTAAAATCTCACCTGTGAGGCCTATGTTCAGCAGCGGACATTTATAGGCTGTAATGAAATGAATGGAAGTTTTATAAGGAATATAACAACCGTATTATCTACTAAATCACTATGTATGAAAAAGAAAAATACACACGGGGTAAAAGTGAAACCCTCAAATGAGATGAAATATAAAATAAAAATATTTCACGGCAAATGATTTATTCAATATTATGATCATTTTCAAATACAAATGCGACATAAAATTTAATACATAAAGTTAATGTCTGTTTGTTCGTATTTTATGCGTTGCCATACCGTTCATCAAATTGCGGTAAAACTTTGTCAAGTTATTGCTTGCACTTCCACAAAGTTTATAGACAGTACAAGTTGTTACGTGGTAGAGCCGTGCTGCAGCTATATTTGTAGTATAGTTCTAGTACGAAAGGGTCGGCTAAACCGGGAAAAGACTACGCTCTCACAGAATACCAGCGTAAAATAGTAGCTTAATGCTGCTCTGTTTCGTACGGTGAGTGTAGAGAACCGAAAACCGGTTTTTACTGGAAACGAGGTATTCCATCTTAGTCCTCAGGGGTGACAAAGCATCTGCATTTTAATTTGTAATCGAAGATAGATGTAGATGTTTATGGGCCACAGTAAAAAGCCTATTACACTATGCAGTATCAAGACAGTCTTATTAAGACTGTCTTAAAGTCTAATTAGACAAGCTCGCTATTACACTGCCCTGAATATCGCATGCTAAATCATTTGCAAGGCCTACGTAGCCGGTGATGGTTGTCGTGGTGTCATGGACTTTCGAAGCACCAGAAAATCGCCATAGCTCTTGCCACGTCTATTACTTGTAGTACAAAAAAGAAAAGAAATATATGGCTGAAGGAGTATTTACTTTTACGGGAAAAATTATCAAATATGCAAATACTGAGTGTTAAATATGGCATATCACGGTACACATCAATAACATTAAAAATCACTTCCTTTTCTTTTGAGCAAGTCATTGTGCATGCCACAGCAAACAAACACGTGACTTCACTCTGCTGCTGCCGCGCACTGACTAAACGGCATAAGCGTGCTAAGTCTTATTACACCATGCGATATTCAGCAAGAAAGCAAGCAAGCACGGCCGAACCCACTCGGTCCGTCTAATTAAACAGACTACCTTGCTTACTATTATTACACTACGCTAAATCTTAGTGAGACTGTCTTAATACTGCGTAGTATAATAGGCCTTTTACCACTTACCATCAATAGACTGTGTGCTCGTTTGTCACCCTTATCCTATAAAAAAAATTACTTACAGTAGGTGACGCGCGTATCGTACAGACAAATTCATTTGAAAGTTATACGAGTATATTATTCAACATCAATGAATGTATTATCATCTCTAATTAAACAGTATAACTTTTCCTTTATATTTCCACAATTATTTCTTCTGTGGCAGCAACGCGTTGGGTACTAGCTAGTAATAGATAAAAGATTATTTTATAACAAATAAATGTTACAGTCCTTACTTTTAGGCATAATTTTAGTATAATAAATTAAAAGAATATTTTCTTTCTAATAAAATTGCTTTGTAATAGCGCCATCTACTTCATTCTATAAGTAAAGTACATTATTGAACAAAAATTGATTGACTATACAGGTGGTACGTAAAATAGACGCTAGATAGACCGAACAAAAAGGAAACTAAAGGAGATAATTGAAACACTATATTTAAAAAAATACTAGCAATAGTATTTTTTTAAAGACAAGAGAAGACAGTAGACGAATGGCGGTTTCGAACAACACAATCTTTTGAGTTGACGTTCTACACTGTATTCTACCTTATTCTCTCGCAGGCTAAATCCTATAGATGTATATTATTATGTTTGTGTGTCGCTTTTTCGGTTCATCGCGTTTCAAATCACAACAATTCTAAAAAAGTTTTCACTTCAAAAATACCAATATAATATACTTATATAATATAATATATACTAGCGCTATATATTTTTATGATAAAAAAATATCACTTTCTCCGGTCTTTTCTGATCGGACTAAGTACTTAGTTGATTGACTTTATCGGTCAGCGCACTGACGTTGAAGTTATCAACTATTTTGTTTTTGTACAATCGATAGAACTGTAATAACACTATTGGGAGATAAAACTATTTGTTCAAACAAACATAAACATAAAGTCACAAATGTGAAATTTATATTGTAGTAAAAAGGGTTGATTATACTGTAAACGTATAAGCTGGTTTTAAGGTTTAATTTTTTATTATAAAAAATCTAGGACGATGATTATAACGTATTAAAATATTGTAGTAACTTCTAATTAATTTTACATATTTTTTTTTTATAAAACGGAAGTGATAGACGAACTTGGACTGCAAGTCTGATGGAAAGTGATTACTGCAGTCCATGGACGTGTGCAACCAACTTCAAACAAAGAAGGCTACGGATGCGTTGTCACCTCTGAAGACTATGATGGAATGCCTTACAGCCTGTAGTTATACTGTCACTATTCCTTTCAATACGAAACACATCAGGGCAAGCAATGTTTTATAACGGTAGAAATACGTAAGAAGGTGGTACCTAGCCAGACGGTTTCTAAACAAAAAAGAAGTCTTACAACCAGTGCTATTTTATACAAGAAATTCTTTTACAAAATGTAAAGTAATTAATAGAATCAGGCGTTACTTTGCGGAAATCCATTATATAAAAGCTTTTACAAAAATTTACTTCGCAAATATCCGCGTTATAAAATAAAATGATGTGTCTTACCTAGTATGAAGAAGCACCTCCCGCCCTCCCTCAATTGCGTGCACTATCCCCGTCACCACTAATCCCAGCACCGCTACTTCCAACACCACTACACTAGGCAAGACACCACTGCCTAAGGAAGTAGCGGTGCTGGGATTAGTGGTGACGGGGATAGTGCACGCAATTGAGGGAGGGCGGGAGGTGCTTCTTCATACTAGGTAAGACACATCATTTTATTTTATAACGCGGATATTTGCGAAGTAAATTTTTGTAAAAGCTTTTATAAAATGTAAAGTAACAACTACACCTGCCTTATAAAGAATGGTGAATTTTACTAAACAGAAAGTCAGGAAGATTTTGGTAGCTGCATATAAAAATTTACTTGGTAACAAATTTAAAAAAAGAAACATTTTTTTCAGCCAGTTTAAGTGCGGCCGGGACACCTATAGGATGCATTGTCAGTGGATACCTCATGGACTCTATTGGCAGAAAACGCACGCTCATTGTTACCGAAGTGCCTCTCATTCTTGGTTGGATTCTTATTGCGACGGCTCAAAATGTTTCTATGCTTTATATTGGTAAGGATGTTGTCGATTGTATTACTTATATTCTTGTGAAGAGTTAGTAATTGTATGAACTTAAAAACAATTTCAGGTAGGTTACTAATCGGATTCGGGTCTGGTATGGTCGGTGCACCAGCCAGAGTGTATACATGCGAGGTGTCACAACCGCATCTACGGGGTATGTTGGGGGCGCTAGCATCGGTCGGGGTCTCTACTGGAGTTCTAATACAGGTCGGTAAAATAATTTTAGAATTAACTAGCTGATACCTGCGACTTCGTCCGCGTTGCTTACACACAAATCACTGAACACGTAGTGGTTATAAAATAATAACTTTATATTAAATGAGAATATCGCAATTTTTTTAAATAAGAGCCAAATTTATAAGAAATAAAACTTAGAAAACCTAATTGAAATCTACCCAGTACATCAGTTATTACATTCTAATTTCCATCCTTTGCCTTTCTATGGTCTCACCCGAAGCACTGGATTGGTTTTCATCATATCTTCGAGGGCTCCAGCAGTCGGTTCGCATCGATCTATCATCTAGCTGGCTTGACATACATGTTGGTGTTCCTCAAGGCGGCATATTATCTCCTTTATTGTTTTCTATATTTATTTATCGCATTACCCTAAACCTTCAGTCTGCGTATCATCTGTATGCACTTGTACACACACGCGAGTATTGACGATATTTCTACAGCGGTGGACACAATTAATAGGGACCTTGAGTACATTAAGAACTGGTGTGACAGGTTTGGCCTAATGGTCAACCCTTCGAAGTGTCAGGCCATAATAATTGGTAGCCGTCGGATGATCCAGAGATTAAATACGGTAGTTCTACGTCCTATCATTTTCAATAGTACTGAGATTCAATCGTGTTCTACTGTGATTCCACTTTGAGTTGGAAAGACCAAGCAACGACCGTTAGCCAGAAAGTCACCGGTACCCTGCGTTCTCTCTATCGCCTAAAAAATTTTCTACCATCTGCAATTAAGACAATGCTTGTGCAAAGTTTAATTTTTTCCTTAATCGACTATGGCGATGTGTGTTATTTCGACCTGAATGCAGATCTTCTCAACAAATATGACCGTCTTCTAAGTAACTGCATTCGATTCATTTTCAATCTTCGGAAGTATGACCATGTCGTATCGTTCTCAATTAAAATGATTACTTATTCGATAATGCCGTAGTTTGCGTGCACTCACCACCCTTTATTCTATGATGTCTCCAACTTCCCCTTCCTACTTATCTTCTTGCTTTCAGTTGCTTAGTGCTAGTCATGAGAGAAACCTCCGCTCCACGAACAATCTTCTTCTCCTATGTCCCTCCCATAGCTCTGGACTTGTTCATTCTTCTTTCCACATTCAGTCTATTTTCCTTACGCGTTTAAGATGAAGGTTCGGGAACTCGTACTTAATAAATTGGCAGAACCATCATAGTAACAGTTAATTTATATGTATGCATATATATATATATATATATATATATATATATATATATATATATAGGTATATATTTTTTGTGATATATGATTTGTATCTTATGTATTTTATTTCCATGTATTCTAAATTTTTTTTTAAATTATTTTAGTTTAGTATTCGCATATTAACTTTTATTACACCTACTCCATTCTATCTCTGCATCATCTCAGGGTAGAATGGTAGAAAATTCCTTAGGCATTAAGTCCGCCTATATACCACATGTGTATATGAAGTTTAAATAAATAAATATAATCACTAAGTTTAATATATGCTTAATACGTGTTTATAAGAAGTTTGCTTATTTTTTTTTATTGGATAAGAGTGACAAACGAGCACACAGTCCACCTGATGGTAAGTGGTTGCTGCGGCCCATAGACATCTACATCTATCCTCTATTACAAATCAAAATGCAGATGCGTTGTCACCCGTGAGGACTAAGATGTAATGCCTCATTTCCAGTAAAAGGGGTCTCTTTTTACTGTAAATGAAGATTATACATATGATATATGATATACTCTAAGTGCGATTATTATCTTCTTGGTAATAGATCACATCGATGTTGTACTCAAAGTGAGAAACAATTTCGATTTATTAAATCTATAGACAAAGATTTAATAGAGTCGTGTAAATGGGGGCTACTATTCTTACGCTCACCAGATGTCGCCTGTTGGACCTGAGGTAGACATATTTGTCACGCAGAGATGGTCGTCATCATTGAAAAGTTACGTTTTAGGAAGTTTTTTTTAAAGTTTCTAGTGTATGTACATATAAAAAAAACTTGCGTCAGTGTTGTGGAACACTCGGTTGGAAAGAAGTTCCTTTCATAGTATATTATTATTGATAAACGTATTATATTATTGATTAACAAATACAAATAAATGAATTACTAGTGTCTATTAAAATGAAGCGTCATTTAAAATAAAATAATATTTCTTTCATGCCAAGATAAGAAAAAGTGCAAGGGAGATGAATATTATTCCATCTCGCTTCCTTATAGCCGCCAAGGCATTATAATATATTTTATGACTGATTTTTTATCATCATATAAAAGTTTTTAAGAAGGTTTTTGTGAGGAGAGGATACCAGTGTCTAGGAGTGGGACGTATATAGGCTGGTAACTTTATAAAAATATTCGCTGTAATCCATCGAATAAATTATAATCTGACTGAATACAGAAATGAAACAATTGAATTTCTTTATTTATACAGGTGTAATTTATAAAATGTAATTTTTTTTTCTCTCTCAAGAATAACTTTTATTTGACGATCTAAAAATTGGTCCTAACACATATAAAAACATTCTTCAAGCAATTTTGAATGTTTCACAGAATATATTAAATTTCTTAGTAACAATCAGATCACGATGAAAGTTGTGATCTGATTCAGGAATTTTACGTCAGGAATTTTAGTCAGAAATTATCACATTGTTGTTACGTGCAATACAAAACTTCGAAGTACGAATATTTTGTATAAAGAATATTACAACATAAGCTAGAAAAGATGGTTGCATAGCATACACACATGCGTTATGGTTTTTACGAGTCAAAAATAAAAATAAAATACCACGGAACGATAGACGTAAACAAACCAGCACAATGGTAGCAGCGTCTTCCTACAATATTAAAAAGACCGCGGGTGGCCAAACCGCCTGACCAACCCGCCTGACAAGCGTGGCAACTATGGCAAAAATAGTGTATATTTATGTCTATAGGACAAGATATGGGGGAGAAATATGTTCTGCAGTAGACTTTTAATTTGTAGGCTGTAACGGTAGTAAGTGTAAAATAACACGTGATCGCTTACGGTGAAAATAATCAGTCACGGTATGAAATGTCGTGACGGTAAGATAACTGATAATTAATAGTCAAATATTGATGCATATAAAATTAGATTTGTCGCTCACGAGCAAACAATAAAGAACTCTGCAACAAATATGTTACGTCGAAGGAGAGCACGCATAGTCTCGTGATAAATTCAATCTTAATTTTTTTCTTGAATATTTGTTTGTATTATTTTAGTACAGCCGTTAACTAAAGCACATATTTATTAGGAAACATTTTGTTTCCTTTACTATTGAATCGTTATGTCTATTTGTAAGCATTCATGTATAATTGGGGATAAAGGTTTTCACTACTCTATATATCCCACACTCCATGTAGTGGGTGGCTGTCCTACACTTCGCTTTACTTTGATGACCAGGAGAGAAGTTGATGGATGTAGGCATCACCATTACAGCGCGCTACAATTCCAATGCTACAATATTAATTTAATCACGTGGTAGAGCCATGCTGCAGCTATATTAGTAGTATATTTGTAGCACGAATGGGTTGGCTCGACCGGGGAAGGACCACGCTCTTACAGAATACCAGCGTAAAATAACAGCTTAACGCTGCTGTGTTTCATATGGTGGGTGTAGAGAACCGGAAACCTGATTTACTGGAAATGAGACATTCCATTTTGATTCGTCTGAGAATAGATGTAGATGTCTATGGGCCACAGCAACCACTTACCATCAGGTGGACTGAGTGCTCGCTTGTCATCCTTATCCTATAAAAAAAAACATTCGCCTACCGTAGGAATACCACAAAGCACAGTTCTCAGTCACCTGCGACCATCGACTTCTTGCATCTCGTAACAGGTCGTTATCCAACTAGTGTGAAGTCGGGAAGAGGGCGCCCTTATTCTGGCTCTACTGTGGAAATTCTCGTTACGCCGTTTATAACACAGTGAAAGTCCAAGCATCTTCATCTGTACTTGGACAGATTTTCTACTGTGGTTCTGTATTCGGATAGCCATTGTAGCAAAGCTACTGTACAAACACGTCAGCACTTCGATATATCGACAGTCAACTTGGCACCGCTGAAGATACTGTACCCAAATTTCGACAGAATCGAAGACTTTCTCATAATTTACAGATGACGTCTGCCGGTCAGCTGTTTAACATAATAATATTATGTTGAATTTTATACTCAAATTCATTTATTTTACTTATTACAGTATGTTATTGGAAGTGTGACGTCGTGGAATATCCTTGCGGGGGTCAGCGCTATCATTCCAATCGTATCCCTGCTTGGCATGATCCTGATTCCGGAGACACCGAACTATCTTCTCACAAAAGATAATCCAGAGAGGGCAGAGAAGTCGTTGGCCAAACTACGAGGGTCAACATGCAACTTGGATGAAGAGATCCAGCGAATGATAACTTTCAAAGAGAAGAATCATGTTGAACCGTAAGTCTATTTTAAAAACTTTCTTATTTACACTTTTTTACATTTCTTGATTTTTATTTTGCTTTTGTGCCTAAGTGCTTTTCCTTCGTTTATTTTAAGTCGCCCAAATGTTTAGTTGTACCACTAAAAGGGTGAAGAATGATATATACATATAAAAAATATAACTTCTAAAATACAGTTTTTACAACCAGCTTAAAAAGCAGGGTTCCATTTACTTGCGGTGAAATTATCTATTTATTTATTTATTTCCTGAAATACTATACCTTTAATAAAAGATATTTAACGGATGTTATCAAGTTTAATTTTTACTTTTCTTTCTCTACCTACATTTCAAGTGTTTTGCATGACCTGTCCCAGTCGAACCTAAAAAGTAGAGACATAAAAATAGGTGTAAATTAAACACCATAAAATCCGCAAAAATATATATGTATTATTAGACTTGTAACGAATAGTATACTCGGCCATACGCGGAATACCGAATTTATAGGCTATAAATATTCGGCCCGGAAGGAAGTAGTGTTTATTCTTCCGTGCGTCTATTATCTGAGACTGGGATTGTCTACGAGAAGAAAAAGAAGTAAAACAACTGACTAAAATGAAGAAAAATTAGTCTTTCTACACCATTATCTTCCATTTTATTTACGATAATTCGAGTGCATAGACATTAATTTGATAGTTCTTTTTTAATTTTTGTAATATGGAAGCTGATTTTGTACCTCTCTATGTCTACTTTAATTATTACAAGAAAAAAAATTATAAAATAAATAAATATATTTATTTTACATAAAAGCCTCTTACTTAGTATTCGGTATTCGTTCGGTTCGGAAATAGCCAAATATTCGTTGCAAGTCTATATTTTATATATTAAAATTATTCATCATTTTCATGTAGGTATACAATTTGTGTTATTTATTTATTTTAATTTCTAAATGTAAACGTCTTCAAAAATAATCGGTACATTGAGCGAATTATGCCACATAGCGTTCTCTGCCAGTCAGCCTGGAACGAAGTAAGCATGCGTCATTCGGTATAGAAAAAGTTACTTTATATGAAAAACATTTACTTTTGGACAAGAAATAAAGGACGTAAATAAAAATGTAGCCGATTAAGGCGCCAGATATAGCAACAACATTTGAACACTTATTTGAAAGACTTTGCACACTTGTTTGAACACTTATTGGCGCAACCTGCCAGATAATCTTTGCAAACACATCTCTCTACAGTATGTTGATAAACGACAAACAAGATGGACGACGATTTTGTGGATGCAGTGTGCCTGTATTATTTAAGTGCATGTCATTATTTATTACATGTGCAAAAATAATAAAATAAAAAACAATACAATAAAATATTTAAATATAAGATTATCTATTTCATTCATAAGTAATAGTCTGTCATCTTCATCCAAGGGCTTTAACTTTTCAAATAAAAGCTGACCATTCATTCGATTGTTTTTTACTATCTTTATGATTGCACCTATTTTTAAAACGTACTGCGCACGACCATCCTGCTAAACACGCTCGCGCGTCAGTACTTTGCGCAAGTGTCGCAAACATTTGAACACTGTTGCCTTTGAACGCTTTGATGTGCGCTAAAAAACCGAAACCGCTTGATAAAGTGCATTTCTCTGTGCATTGATTCAAAGTCCCGTGCCACACATAGCTTCAAACAAGTGCTCAAATGTTTAATACTGTATCTGGCGTCAGCTTAGTTCAATAACATGCCTTTCATATTATCGAAAAAAATTATATTCGTTTAAAAAAACGAAAACTCGAACGCCAAAGGTTTTCCCGGCGATTAAATTATTAACTTTTTATCTCGATTTATATCAAATGTTTTAAAATATATTCGGTTAAGAATTTAATTGAGTATTTCGTGTTTGCATATATGCAAATATTAATAAATTTGCATATATGTGCTTCGGTGGTTTGGGCACGTTGAGCGAATGAGTGAAGACCGAATGGTGAAGAAAATATATAGCGCGAAAGTTAATATTAAAAGGTGTCGAGGTAGACCGAGACTAACTTTCGAAGACGATGTGAGCAAATTGCTCGAAGAGGGTAGGGTCAAGAGTACTCGGATACCTAGACGTGCATGTATGAAGACGATAATGAATCTGAAAGAAGCGAAAGAGGTATGTAAGGATCGTGACACTTGGCGATCTGTTCTCTCTGGTACCCCGTCAGGGATTGTGCGTGAAGATAAGCATATATTTTATCCGATCATATGTTAATACTCGAGCGTCAAACTCGTGTCTGATATACGATATTTTTGTCCAACCTAGCTTTAAGGTTAAATGTAATTGTCCGAATCCTAATGTAGAGCGATTGGATATCCGAGGTCAAATCCATCTTTTAAAGGTTATGATTGATTACTTTTTCATCGATTACTTTGGTGACAAGTGTTTACTGTAACTTAACATATACTGCGTTATATTTATCTACTGTATGAATGATTGTCGGTTTTTTTATAAGATAAGGGTGACAAGCGAGCACATAGTACACCTTATGGTAATTGGTTGTTGTGGCCCATAGACATCTACACCTATCCTCGTTTGCAAATCAAAATGCAGATGCGTTGTCAGCCGCGAGGACTAAGATGGAATGCCTCTTTTCCAGTTAAAAGATTCTCCGGTTCTCTGCACTCATCATACAAAACACAGCAGCATTAAGCTGCTATTTAACGCTGGTATTCTGTGAGAGCGTGGTCCTACCCCGGTCGAGCCGACCCATTTGTGTTACAACTATACAATTAATATAGCTGCTGCATGTTCATTATATCATTGTTTTTATATATACTAATAATATGAACATAACCAATGCTCTTTGTCATAAAAATGTATGCGACGACGATAATTTATCACAAATGGCATTGGTTATGTTCTTTTGAATGAATATGCGTAGCACAGTCATCCTGCTGGTAATCATTACATACATAGCATAACGGTTGCACTATGAATATTGAACAGTTCGACCGATCGAGGAAGGACCACGCTCGTCCAGAATACTGGCGTGAAATAGCAGCGTAATGCTGATGTGTTCCGTATGTGAGTGAGAAGAATCGGGGACCATTTTTCTGATAACTGTGACTGGTGACTGTTTGCTCTTTTGACATTTCTATTTTCATAATAAAATATATATCCTCAAATATTTTATACCTCCGACATGCTGCTTATGACTATGTTTAGTACTGATGGTTGAGGTCGTGCTTGATTCATAGCTGGTGGTAAGTGATAATATAACCCTAGGTAGTAAATCACATTATATTGGCCTAATAAAACGCACGCACTCTTGCATTGGAGACACAAAAATTTAGAACTTGTTGAATATTGCCGTATGCCTGCAGATGTCTTTAAGGGCGATTTTGGAAAATTCCAAAAAGTTACGGCTTTTGATGATGATATAACCATCTCGTTTACTTCAAAGACGTAAGAATATCCATTAGCCTAAATCATTCCGTGGGTGTCGGGTTCCAGAGGCGACAGAGTAAAAGCAAACAGGGCTTGGGCAGCAGCATCTTCCCGATAACAACTTAAATTAATTTAAAAAAAACTGCGGTTATAAACCCGCCTGCCAAGCGTGTTGAATCTAGTAAATATTTACGAGTTTTACGTGAAATATCCAGACTGGCGACAGGTATTGCCTGTCACCGTCAAAGGTGCGAGACGTTTGGTACAGCGATCATTATTAAATTGCGAAGCGTGAAGATTGAGGTCAACAATGCCTAAGCCGGAGGAGCATATAAAGAAGAAGATTGACTATTAAATGCAAAATGCAAAAGATTTCGAAGGCATGTGAAATCCAACAAAACGCATCGGCGCAGCGCGGCGGACATTTTCTTGCCCTAAAACCCTCTGAGAAATGGGAGGAGCCTTTAACCACAATCCTCTATTCATCCTCGGTCCTAATAAGAAAAAAAAAAACAGTACGAATCCCAAGGCTGTACTGTATAAAATATGTATTTCTTCACACTATCTACACGCTGAAGATTTTTTTTTCATTTTTACAGATTGAAAACGCCCAAGGAAATTATAAAAGCGTTAATGTCGCCTTCGGCACTTAAGCCTTTTACTATATTAGCAATATATTTTTTCATATACCAGTGGTGTGGTGTCAACACCATCACATTTTATGCAGTGGAAGTATTTGAGGTAAATGATTTTTTTTTTGGTATTGTTAAAGTTATAATATATAAAAATATTTCTTTGATGGGGATTTCACTTATGTAACAAACGAGTCCGCATTTAATTGTTCATTGTTAAATTGATTATTTATTTATTTAGATTATTTACTCTCAAATAATCTAAGGTGTCAACCTACTAAATTTATCTTCTTTAACTGTGATCCATTCAAGTATAACCGCACGAGTATATTCAAGGGACCATAATATTTCTGTACTGGACTATGGTTTTTAATTGACTCGTGTATGTACATTTATTTTAAAAAATATTTTTCAGGCGTCTGGAGCCTCTTTGGACAAATACTGGTTAACGATATCTATGGGTATTATAAGAGTAATTTTCACTGTGGTCGGCTGTATTCTGTGCAGAAGATGTGGGAGAAGGTTACTTACTTTCGTCTCAGGTAAGTATTTTTGTTACAATTAAAAATCCCATATAAATTGTTGTATATCAAATATAAAAGGTGATGGTCTAAAAATTGTACCCTGCGGGACTCATTTTTTGTGTTTGTTTTTTCTCCTTTGACAACCCATTTCAATCAATTGCTTCGCCACGCTTACCTAGCGGACGGGTTCACATAATAATGTCTTATTTACGCGCATACTACACTTTCAATGACACTAATTTTACGGATTTTATCACGTTTTATTTTATTTATTTTTACTTATTTTAATTCTCAACGTTTCCGGTGTTTTACAGCACCCATGATCACGGGGGTAACTGAGGTGTTTGACGTCCCGATGTCATAGCTAACTCCAGCTACATTCAGCTTTTGAATTTTTTATTTGGTCTGTTCTACGCCGAACGAACTTATAGTATCTTGAAATCGTGCAGCAGCGTGCTGAGGTTTTATATTTAATTTCATTAGAATAGAATAGAAGAGAATAGAATAGAATAGAATAGAATAGAATAGAATAGAATAGAATAGAATAGAATAGAATAGAATAGAATAGAATAGAATAGAATAGAATAGAATAGAATAGAATAGAATAGAATAGAATAGAATAGAATAGAATAGAATAGAATAGAATAGAATAGAATAGAATAGAATAGAATAGAATAGAATAGAATAGAATAGAATAGAATAGAATAGAATAGAATAGAATAGAATAGAATAGAATAGAATAGAATAGAATAGAATAGAATAGAATAGAATAGAATAGAATAGAATAGAATAGAATAGAATAGAATAGAATAGAATAGAATAGAATAGAATAGAATAGAATAGAATAGAATAGAATAGAATAGAATAGAATAGAATAGAATAGAATAGAATAGAATAGAATAGAATAGAATAGAATAGAATAGAATAGAATAGAATAGAATAGAATAGAATAGAATAGAATAGAATAGAATAGAATAGAATAGAATAGAATAGAATAGAATAGAATAGAATAGAATAGAATAGAATAGAATAGAATAGAATAGAATAGAATAGAATAGAATAGAATAGAATAGAATAGAATAGAATAGAATAGAATAGAATAGAATAGAATAGAATAGAATAGAATAGAATAGAATAGAATAGAATAGAATAGAATAGAATAGAATAGAATAGAATAGAATAGAATAGAATAGAATAGAATAGAATAGAATAGAATAGAATAGAATAGAATAGAATAGAATAGAATAGAATGATTTTTATTCAATATGGATTATTACATAATACTTATTGAAAGTCATTATTTTATTTACCACTGGTTCGGAAAATACCTCTGTCCTGGGAAGAACCATTAATTCTAGGATCCTAAGGTGATGCTAAGAGTACTCAACCATCTTCTCGCGAATTTTCGCTTAGCCCCCCACCCGCTCACAAGTAAGAAATTAAATAAGTTGAATAAACCACGATAAAATCCGTAAAATTAGCAGACTGGCGTTCTTAGTAAAACGGTAACTAATACCTTAGGGACTGTTCTTTCATCGCCAGTCAGAAGAATTTATATCGGGTGCGATAAACTTTCTTATATTCCCTTTCGTTTGATCTTTCACTCTTTTACATTTATTATATGCTCCTTTTCAGCAATCGGTTGCGGTTCCACAATGGTGACCCTATCGGTGTATATGTACTACGTGCATTACTGGAAGGAGAACAACTTGCCGCCCTCGAACTCCTGGATTCCAGTTGCCAGTATCTATATCTTTATGATCGCTTGCACTTTGGGATATTTGATCGTGCCATGGGTTATGATTGGAGAAGTGTATCCTACGCAGGTAATTGTTTGTTTTTTCATCTTTTTAAATTAGATATAGCCAAAATTTTTGTACATGTATTAATATTTCATATGCCATAATGTTATGGTGGTAGCACGAATGGGTCAGCCCGACCGGAGGAGGAACATGATAGAACAGCAGCGAAAAAGTAGCTGAATGATGTGTTGCGTATGATAAGTGTAGAGAACCAGAGCCGTAGGGAAGACATAGTCCAATTTTACAAAATTGTCACTAGGCTTTTGGTATTGGGTAGGTAACTTTCAAAAAGCATTTCTTTTGCAATGATGGCGCTATATTTCATATATCAATCTATATTTCATATATATATATATATATATATATATATATATATATATATATATATATATATCAATATATAGATTATGGAGGAAATTGAAATTGGCCGATAGTTGGCAGGGTCGGTACGGCTACCTTTTTTAGGCACAGGCTGCACATTGGCCAGCTTAAAAGATTTAGGCACTATTCCAGTGCTGAATGAGAGGCGGAACAAGCGTGTCAACACAGGAGACAACTCAGGTGCACAGACCTTTAGAACTATAGCTGGTATACCATCAGGTCCACTAGCTTTGTTCACGTCTAGACTTCGCAAGGTTTTAAGAACCTCCTTGTTGGTGATACGGACCTCAGACAGAGGTGCCGCAGTGTGGTAATTGAGATTGTACGCTGTTGCTACTGTCCAGACGCGAATTGCAAGCAAAAACAGAAGCAAATAAGTCCGCTTTCTCCTTAGGCGCATGCGCCAGTGAGCCATCTGGTTTTACCAGCGGAGGCAGTGTAGACCGACAGAAGTTTGTCTCGACCACTTTGGCGAGAGACCAAAAAGCTCTACTGCCAGATGGTTTGACAGAGAGCTTTGTGCCGATGCGTTTAAGGCGGTCGAAACTGGCTTGGCGTAATGCCTTTTTGCACGACTTGGCGGCTTAGTTAAAGGCTCTCTTCTTAAGGCTAACATCCGGAGGATAAGTACGCCATATGCTTGTGCTTTTCAGCACGAGCGCACTCGGCGTTAAACCAAGGGTGAGCTTTACCACCAATGGGCACGACAGCAAAGGGGATGAAATACTCCACCGCTTGACATATCACATTGGTTATGGCATTCGCGCAGCTCGATGGGTCTTCAGAGGAGAAGCAGACCTGCCGCCAAGGATAAGATGCAAAGAAATGCCGCATCTCATCCCAATCTGCTGACTTGTATCGCCACATTCGTCGCACTCCGTGGAAATCGTAGTTAGGTGGGGAATATAACGACACAGATTTCACCAGACAGTGGTCAAAAGTTCCCAAGTGTGAGGTGACCTGAACATCGTACCTGTCTGGATCGGTCTACAGCAGAAGGTCGAGGCAGTTGGCTGTGTGCCCATCCACATGAGGTACCTGCTCGAAGTCGCTTGTTGTACCAGCTGGAAGAGCCCCAACGACAAGGCAAAATTCCACCTCTTTCCCAGCGTGGTCGGTCTTCTGGTATGGGAACAACCAGTTTTGATGACAGGCATTAAAGTCCCCCAGAAAAACCAACTGTGCATTAGAGTACCGATTTAGAGCCACATCAGAGGCTTCACTGAGGTGTTCAAACAGCCTAGTTGTTTCCTGGTCGCCGCTGTGCGATCGGTAGACACAAGAATAAATAATTTTATCCATTCCTGTGTCTATCAATAACCAGATCGTAGAGAAAGTGGGGTCTTCAAGGTGAGACGAGACGCTTACAGCAGATGTCAAAAAAATGTAAACACAGACTCAGGCGCGCTGATGGAAATTATGCTCCAATGTGTACCCAGGGTAGCCAAGGTACGCCGCATCTAGAAGACATCTGATTTGCGTCTCAGTCAAGAAGAGTAAGTGCGGCTAGTCAGTAGTGTTGCCCAAATGCAAGAACAAGACGAGACTTAGCAAGTCTTGGTCTTGGTCTTGCGCCAATACACCTGGTATTGGTATTGGTCTTGGTATTGCGCTCCCAGTCTTGGTCTAGGTCTTGGTCTTGCAGCAAGAGTCTCACAAGTCTCGCAATACCTATTAGCCTATTACTTCCGCCGAGCTGGCGGCTCTGGGTTTACTTAGGTACTCCTTCAACCCGTTAATAATTAAGCCTTGAAGACAAGATCCAGATCCATTTTTACACATCTCAAGTGTTTTAAAAGTGTCTACAATATTATCAAATATTCGAGCACTTTGTGTTTTAAAAACACACACTTCCATAAGTCGAGATTTGCAGTGAATTTATTGAACATGTTTATCTATTAGGTAATAATAATAATAGTAAGTAATTATTATAAATCCATATAGTTAATATTATAATAATTACTTACTAGAATAAATTATTATGATATCTATCTATCCTTACATCCCTTACATCATCTTTACATCTAATTACAATATTCCTTGCCAGATCAGCATAATGTATTCATGTCCATTCTGAGCAACGGAAACTTATTTTATTCTTTGTAACATGTACTCTGTGGCGGCAATCAAACAGTGTCAAATGTAGTGCGTGCGGCGCGGCGGCGACGATTGTATGCAATATCAATAGTAGTCACCGGCACGTGTATCTTGAACTTGTAATTTTGAATAGCTGCACAATTTCTTTGACAGATTAGTATCCGACCTTTGATGACGCCGACAACAAGACGCCGCGCACTATCACAGTGCCGTTGGTCAAAACTAGGGATGCAATCTTTTTTTCTTTTACTGGATATTTTCATTCGCTATGTATGTTTATGGTATTGTTCGTAATGCGCATAAGTCCAATTTTCCATTTTTTATTATATTTTTTTGCGTCTCATAGAGTCCCTAAGCGTATACCCGAACTCCTATACTCCCTGAAACGACACTTAGTCCTAACTGCAAGACGCAAGAGTCTCGCAAGCTTAGTCTTGTTCTTGCGCAAATCTTGCACGGTCAGTCTTGGTCTTGGTCTTGCTAAAAATAGGCGGTCTTGTTCTTGGTCTTGGTCTTGCAAAAATGCAAGAACAAGACCAAGACTGCAAGACCAAGACCGATTTTGGGCAACACTACTTGTCAGTCTCAAGGTGGTAATGGACTGCATTGAGATTACAGTGCAGGCCTCGGATGTCTGTGATGTGCACTTTAATGGAGAGGGAGTACAACCGCTGTACAAACTAATTCTTCTTTTTCCTTTTTTTTCATTAATGGTGGGAGTGAATAGGTTGAGTGAATGGCAGTTGGACGAGGCGTCACACATATAACCTAGGGACGCAAACAGAGTCATAGCATCGATGGTACCTAGAATGGAGATCGCGGGGACGCCCGAACCCCCCTGGAAATAGCCACCAGGCCCTCTCCTCCGGTTGCCAACTGGCATGGTGGAGCCATCCCAGGATTTTTCGTAAGATGGCGGGGCAGCCTTTCACGAGTGGCTGGCTCATTAATTGGGCCCCCAACTATCTACAGTCGGCCAGCGGTGCAACCGTGCTTCGGATCCCGCTAACCTCCATAACCGGGCACCTGACACTAGGAAACGGCCGCGTCGCAACCGGTCCGTATGCGCAACACAACTGTCCAGACCCATTCTCCCTAAGAAATGGGTTTCACCTAACATCATACCGGAACATGATTTGCATCATTTGGCGGTATGTCTTTGCCAGGTGGGTGGTAACTAACCTTCGGCCGAGCCTCTCACTAGTAGAGGACCAACCTACCACCAGTATGTAGTACTGCTCGTTTAGCATATAATATATAATATGTATGTATTATACATATAAACTTTCGTCTTCAATCATTCCGTCTAATGATGAAAACCGCATCAAAACCCGTTGCGTAGTTTAAAAGATCTATGCGTGCAGATGGCGGGAATCGACTTTGTTTTATACTATGTAGAGAAGGACCGAGTTTTCAATCCTCAAAAAAAATTAATTTTTATAATAACAAGATAGACAAATTAAAAATTACAGTTGTATGAATAAAAAAGTTGAATGATATTACTTTTATGTTTAGTGAGATTATAATTTATTTAATGGATAACTTAAATCTGGCGATTTTAAAATAAACGTGTCATTTTGTTTCAGGTGCGTGGTATAATTGGCGGCATGACGACTTGCGCGGCTCATTTGTCAGTATTCTCAGTTGTAAAGACTTTCCCCTTGCTCAAGCACTCGCTCAATGATTACGGAACTTTCGCTTTGTACGGCACCATGTCGTTAGCAGGTACCTCTATTTGTGTGTTTACTTGCGTTTTTGATGTGTTACGTACGAAAGTAGGAACTCGTATGTAATAACTTTGGTGAATGTGTGTCGAAGAAGTTAAACAGATACTCGTTCAAGTAGATAATTGAAATTAATCTTTGTTATTAATTTGAACTAAAGGAGAATGGGAGTGCGATGAATGGGTAATGACTATTTTAACATTTTGTGTGTTTATTTTTTCAACACATTATTTCCGACAAGCGCTTAACATTGCGCTAAAGGGTTAAAACCTGATGACACTAATTATTATGTGCTTGCATTTGAATCATTTTGTAACGTGTGGGTTTCGTAAGAGGTGACAGAGGGAGACAGGAGATGGGTAGCAGCATCTTTTTGATAACAATGGTAAATATAAGAAACTGCATTTGTCAAATTCAGGTGGGCTAGTGTAGCAATTACATCAAAATCCCTCCTACGAGGCAATCTGTGGGTATGAATGAAAAAAAATATTTTAAAGAAGTGATTAAATCAAAATAATATTCTATCGTGTTCTCTATTACGTTATTTTTTTATTTTAGTCTTATAGTATAAGGTATTTTATAATAACTTAATACAAACTTACTTTAATATATCTATAATCTATATCTATAAATATTCTATAGCAAAAATTATACTCCTAATTTTTATGTATATATGCTGTAATACATTAGGACAGACAGATAAGATGAAAGTGTTTCTTGTTTAGCTGACAAGCAAATAATTACTAAATCACTGATTTCAGGTACAGTATTTTTCTACTTATTTTTACCGGAAACGAAAGGAAAGACGTTACAGGAAATAGAAGACTACTTCTGCGGAAGGACAAAATCTTTAAGGAAAAATAAAACACAAACAGAACTACCATAAATTATATCAAATGCTCTGTGATATCGAAAATATTTTATAAACCGTTTATAAAAATAAATATATATTTATAATATTTTGTGTAACATAATATACATTTATATTACATATTGATAAAATTTGTATTAAATTTTAAAATTATTGAATGAGCCGATCAAATTATATTCTATCTTATCTCGTAAGAATTTTGCATAATATGCAATGTTAAATGTGAGATTATATTAGGTGAGATTAGTTCAGTTATTCGCGTCATATCTTAATAAGGCGATCGAGTCAACTGAAAAATCATATTTATAGTACTTATAACTCAATGCCTTTATATAAGGGTTACTACGCCAATCGATCGATCGTCGATCGATGCCATTGATCGACGTCGATCGGTGTCGTTCGATTGGTGTGGTAGATTTAGTTGATTGACGGATTCAGGTCGATAAAACGTTGTTCAATCATCGATCGACAATTAATCGATGTAGTTGTGGGCTCATCATTACTATCTTTTGGTGGAGCGGGGCGGGTTCTCGAATAATCAAGCAGCTCGATCGACGTTGACTAATCCATTCCACCATTGATCGATTGGTGTGGTAACACCCTAAGACTAAGCGATTTTCTATAGAATTTGTTTGGGAAAACCCATAAATGATATATGATGATATATACCACAATTACGTCGTATTTAGTAAAAAATGTGTTTGTACGTTTTAAATAATAAAAATACCTAAATTAACCTTAAAACGGAAAACCAATTAAGTTTTCTGTCTTGCCTCTCCGAAATGAGAGAAAGCCTGTGACCAAAAATATATAGGCTGTTTTTTCTTTCAATATAGAGATTTAATTTAAAACATGAGGATAAAAACTATTTGTACATTTTTAGACGTACTTACACACTAAGTGTACAACCTTTAAAATTGTAAAATAGTATAAATATATAGAATTGAAAAAGTGATTAACAATTAGGTTATTTGAAGATTAGTGCCATTTAACAATTTGTAGATATCAATTTAAGTTTATATAACAAGTTTATAGATATAATAAATTTATTTATTGTTATTGTAAATGTTTGTAAATAACTGTATATCTTGTTAGAAATAGCATAGTGTTCTGCATTTTTAAAAGGCAGCTTGTTATTTAATGTAGATGAAGAGATATCTTGTCAATTTATTTGGAAGCATTTATAAAATGTGTTGAGAGTGTTCAAACAAGAATGTGAAAAGTTTTTGACTGTTTGAAATAAATGAAAATTGAAATATAAATGTCTTGTTTATAACTTCTTCTTATCCTTCTTCAGCCCATAAGAGCAGACTTCAGACCGCTTTGTTGTAGGGAATATAAGTAGTAGAGTTATATCCGGTATCAGGGAGTATTTTCAACCGATTTCAAAAAAGAGGCGGTTCTCAATTTGACTGCATTTTTTTATGTGTGCTACCTCGGAACTTCTTAATGTTTTTATTTGAGAGCTAGTGCTTTTCCTGTGATCCCATATAAATTTAATCAAGATCTAACTAGTAGTTTTTTAGTTATCCTTAATAATGCGTATTTAATTGACTTCGACAACATTGATGATGTTTTCATTTTATTTATATTGAAGTAAGTTGTAAAAAAAATTAAAATTTTACCACTTGTGTATAAATGGCCTTAATAAACCAGTACCAGATGACTCGCAATTTGATGGTGCTGCCCGTCGTCGGGCTAGATATTTTATTTACGTAACGAAATGGTTATACTACCTCCATTTGGCCCGACAACCCTGAATTGACATTTAAAGTGTACATTTATCTAATGAATCCCTCCACAAGTATACTTATAGAGTTACGCTGCAGCTATATTAGTTGTATTAGGAATGGGTCGGCTCGACCGGGGAAGGACCACGCTCTCAAAGAATATCAGCGTAAAATAACAGCTTAACGTTGCTGTGTTTCGTATGGTGTGTGTAGTGATTTCGTATGTAGAGATCCGGAGACCCTTTTTACTGGCAACGAGGCATTACATCTTAGTCCTCACGGGTGACAACGCATCTGCATTTTGATTCCTAATCGAGGATAAAGCACCCACTTACCATAAGGTGGCCTGTGAGCTCGTTTGTCATCTTTATACTATAAAAAAAGTATTTGTAGCGCTTTCTTTTTCAATGTAACTCTACATTTTTATAGAATTATGCAACCAAAGGCGGCCATTCCAGCCAAATGCATTTAGCACGGCCCTTGTGGAACTTTAAAAATACATTATGTATCAAAAATCTTTTTATTTTTTTTTATTTTCTTTGTACTTTATTAGTAAAATAAATAATATATTATAATAGATATTGTGGTGACATAATGATGTGGATATGGTGCCGTATTGAAAATGTTTTGATGAAAATGTCGAAAAAGATAAAGATACTTCCAAAACCTAACATACAATAAATAACTTCTCTCTATTATTTCTCATAAAATTAGTAAAATTTGAACAATTAGGCATTTTTCATTCGATGAACACGCTCGCTTTTAGATTTTTTTTATAGGAGAGGGGGCAAACGAGCATGCGCCTCACCTGATGATAAGTGACTACTGCCGCCCATGAACAACTGCAACACCAGGGGAACCAGGGGAATTGCAGATGCGTTGCCGGCCTTTTAAAAAGGAGTAGGCTCTTTTAGATACTTATATCTTTTAAATATAACATAGATGACTATACAAAAATTCAAGTTTCTTAGAAACTTAAGAGTATATTCGTTCAACAAAATTTTCTGTCTCAAAAGTCTCCTGAATTTGTATTTAAATAGATAAATCATACACCCTCCGAAAGTGTCCACCGCACTGCTCCAAAGCGTGTTGGCGGACTTCACATTCACATGTATTCTAAATATTTTTTTTAATTCCTCAACATGCAGTTTCCTCGCGAAAGATTCACTGCCAAGCACTTGGTAAATCAGCCCTTAGAATTGTAATTAACAATTTCGTTGGTACCGGATCGAACCGTGGTTTCTCGTGTTTTAAGCTTAGGTCACACACAGCGAATATTCGCTGCGAATATTACTCGCAGCGACAATTCGTTGCCTGCCAGTCACACACAGCGAGTACTACACAAGAATTATCTGTAATATGTATCTTTTATATTCTTAAATTTTCTGTGCTCTTGTATTGATATTTCGAATCCCAACTCAATTGATTCGTCAATGAAGGCGTCTAATGTCGTCTCGCCTCTGCGTTTTTTTTAAATTACTGTTATTTGTGTCAAACAGCTCCAAACATACCCAAGAAACGAATTATATTGTAATTTTCCCATTTTAGAATTGTTTATTGGTTAACTAATTTGATTGACCTACACACACGTCTCATGCAGCAACGAAACGACCTATCCATAGGCGTGTAGTCTGGAGCGGAATGGCTACTCGCAGCGAGTACCCTGTCACACACAGCGAATTCGCGCAGCGAGTGCTCATTCGCAGAGGGTAAAATTGAACATGTTCGTTCGATGTTTCGCAGCGAATTCAACTCGCGGCGAATGAATCTAATCGTAGCGAATAGCCTGTCATACATAGCGAATTCTCGCTGCAAGGGCCTAATCGCAGCGAGTATTGGCTATGTGTGACCGAGGCTTTACGGCGCGCTAAGCTCCTGAGCTGCATATTATCTATAAATAGCTGCAAATTGCATGATACATAGTTCACAAGAAACTGCTGCGGAAGTAAAATATTTTTTCAATAAATCAAACAAATGAGCGTAATTTTTTTAAAATGTAATCTACAATGTACTACAATCTATCGGAAGCCATAAGTTTTACGACACTACCGAAATGATATGGGGTAGTGGTTTCTCATACGCCGCCACTACCACCTTATCACAACATGACATTATTGTATTGTTCTTTTTACGACTCTATAAAGTTATTAGATTGAGGATAAATACCTATTTTGAAGTGCAGAAAATTTGTTGAAGTATGAAGATGAAATGGTCCAGTAATGCTTAGGTTGTTAATAATTAACTTTATTGAAAATAAATAAAGCGACTTCACAAAACTGATTAAAATTTGATTTTTAAAAACTTCGATCAGTATGGGTACTATTATTGATCGAAGTTTAAAAAAGTAAAAACCGAAAATTTTAGTCAAATACGACGGAACCTTGTAACACAAATCATTGCAGAGCAAGTATTTCAAAATTGTACTGTATTCCATTTGAATTGGTCATTCATACGCTAGTTTCCTTACTTAGTTTAGATTCATTTGCCTTGAATAGTTGGCCAGTTTACACTTTCAATTTGTAAACATTTTCTATCGAGTTGAATGAAACATGCGATTACCGATACAGTTAATATTATTTTCGGCTATGTGTTGCTGGACAAGTTACGCTAGTTTAAAAGAAATTCTCGAAGATAAATCAGGTAATTGGTAAATTTTGATACGTTATTGGATGGACAAGGAAAAAGTTTCATCAAAATCGGTCGAGCCGTTTTTGAGTCTCAGCGAATCTAACTGACAGTGATAGATTTTTATATACATATACAGATGACATAAAATATTATTATAAATATTAAAGTCTACCAAAACTGTGAAATTTAAAAACATATTGAGCGCGTGTTTTTTTTTCTACCTTTCGGGATGGTTATTTTTGAATTTATATGGAACCACCTCTGAAGTATAACCTATTTAAGAAGATTAATTTAAATCAGTTCAACAGTTTCAGAGAAATCGGTGAGAATACTTAAAAGTAATAGAATAGAATAGAATAATTTTTAAGTCATTTTTTATTTACCACTGGTTCGGAAAATACCTTTATCCTAGAAAGAACCAGTAAGAAACCCAGCGGGACTTTTTTTAAACATATTTCACTTAACAATATTTTTTTTTAATGAATTTTAATTGTGGAATATTTTGTTGTGCATAGGTTAGACTTAGAAATATATGAATGAAGTTTATAACTAAAAAAATTTGGAATTCGGGACAAGCGGCACGCATTAGACGTTTTGCAGGGATAATATAATATACTAGCTGTTCCTTGCGATGTAATTTAGGGTTTTAATTTTGTTGCGCGGAACCCTAATTATTTTTCAAAAAAGGAAGTAGCCTAAGTTACTTCTTATAACATAAGCTATCTACCAGTGAAAGTCCCGTCAAATCGGTCCAGCCGTTTCGGAGATTAGCCAGAACAAACAGACAGACAGACAGACAAAAATTTTAAACATTTGTGTTTGCGTTATAGGTATCGTATATACTTTTATATGCAATTAGTAAAAAGCTGTTATTTTGACATTACAAACAGACACTTCAATTTTATTTATTTGTATAGATTAATAATAACTGCTATGAGGAATTACAACCGCTGCTACGAGACGGTCCAGCAGAATGCGGTTGGCCTACCTTAACCATTGGTATTGAACCTTTAACGTTGTTCGTCTGTGATTATAATCTAAGATGGGATGGCGGCAGAAATTCAGAGTCCAGGATATCGTTTAAGGATTTCCAATATGTCTCTTAAGACACACACTCCCTCTTACGATATATTGCATTTATTATTTGGAATCCGTAACCGAAGTCAGTATCGGGTAGAAGGAGAGTGATATTATCGACCGTATATAGTTATATGAGTATACGGTATATGGATTGATTACTTTGTACATTTTGTAGATGAAAAAGCGGTGAAGCAGTCAGATGGTTTTGAATTCAGCAACATGTCTCGGTCTACCCTGCTTCAATTTCTATCAGCCATCGAACAGGATTTCCACTTAAATATGCCAACAATGAAATTAGGGCCAGTATTTACTGCGCAGTTTGCAAATAATAAATACACAAGACCGTTTATATATCCAAATATTTACAGGAAAAATCGACATAATGATTAAATGGCTTTCAACATTTTTTAAGAAATAAAATTGTATAAACGAAAACAATGGATTGGTTTTATTTATATTTCGACATAGAATAAAGCGCTAATAAATTAAGACCTTTTAGTGGCGGTTAAGAATATCCACTACCCCATATCTTCCCGTGGATGTCGTAAAAGACGACAGTGGGAACCAGGCAGGAGATGGGCAGCAGCATCTTCCTGATAACAGCAATATCACAATAAAAAAAAAACTGCGGTTGCCAACCCGCTCGCCAAGCGTGGCAACTATGGCAATATACCCCCCAATGAACAAAGTTACGAAAAGACGGCCCCCAGTCCCCGGCGGCCACGCTATTCCTGGCTACAGCGGCGACCATGGTAATGGCGGAACAGGGTGCGCTAAGAATCTCCGGTGGAGGTTCAGTTGCCACCTACGACTCGACCTGGCAACTTATAACGCACGCAACCTGAGAACTGACGAGAAGATCTAGGAGCTGGAAGAAGAGATAGACAAGTTGCGTTGGAATATTATAGGATTTCCTCGAATCTGGCAACTTGTTCTATCACCGGGAGGTCGACCATCTATCCCAATTAGGTGTCGGATTTATCGTCCGCAAGTCTCCCGTTAAGAACGTTGTAAAGATTGGGAGTGTGTCGATGAGGGTTGCGTACCTTATAGTTAGAATCACCAAACGGTATTCGCTGAAGGTTTTACAGGTTTTCGCACCAACCTCGGCACACCCCGATGGGGAGGTGGAGGAAATGTATGAGGATATCTCTAGAGCCATGCATTCCTCCAAAACCCACTATGCATGGTTAATGGGAGACTTCAATGCAAAACTAGGCACAGGAGGGAACGGTGAGCTGAAAGTAGGGAAATTCGGAATAGGGCAATGGAAACCAAGGGGCCAGCAGCTGACCGACAAAGAGGGACTCTTTATGATGAACTTTTTCTTCCAGAAACGGCCACACCGGAAGTGGACCTGGTAGAGCCCCGACGGTTGGACAAAAAATGAGATTGACTTCATTATAACGATCATACCACAATTGTTCAGTAATGTCTCAGTGATCGCGAGGGTGAAAACTGGTAGCGATCATTAAATGGTTAGATGAACACTGAACCTAAACGTTAAGTTGGAGAGGTCTCGTCTAATGAAGTCAACGCTCCGTCCCCCTCGTGCTCTAGTCCAAAGTCACGAAACCTTTCAGCTCAAGTTACAAAACCGTTTTCGGTGTCTGGAAATATGCAATGAAATGGACGATATGAATGATAAGCTCGTGGAAACTGTACATGCATTCGGAGCTAAGTTCTGCAAGACCCGAAACAGAAAAACTCTCCGATCACACTCTTAATCTCATGGCTGTTAGACGGGAAATGAAGCTGCAATTTTCAACAAATTTGACAGCATACAGGCAACTGAACAAATAGATCTCCAAATACATGCGGCGGGACTTACGCAACTTCAATACAGCTTGTATTGAAGAAGCGATCGAGCGGAACCAAGGCTCCAAAGTCTTTGCCAGAGATCTGTCTGCCAGAAAGAGCCAACTGTCAAAGCTGAAGATCAAATGTGGCACCATCGTTTCCGGAACATCTGAGATTTTGAGTGAGATTGAGAGGTTCTATGGGCAGCTGTACACGTAATCGTTGGAGCCACACGCAAGTGTGAGTAACGATCCAAGAGCGAATCTTAACCGACATTATTCCGAAGATATTCCGGACGTCAGTCTGAGCGAGATTAGAATGGCTCTCCAGCACCCTAAAAACTGCAAGTCCCCGGGTGAGGATAGAATTACAGCGGAGCTTCTGAAAGCGGGTGGAAAACCGGTACTTGAAGTCCTTCAGAAGCTCTTTAATTCCGTTCTCCATGGTGGTATTAGTCCGGAGGCGTGGAGCAGAAGTGCGGTGGTCTTATTCTTCGAGAAAGGCGACAACGCTCTCTTGAAGAACTACCGACCGATTTCCCTTCTGAGCCGCGTCTACGTGCTGTTTTCGAGAGTCAGTGCGAATCGTCTCGCACGCAGGCTCGACGACTTCCAGCCTGCCGAACAAGCCAGTTTTTGAAAAGGCTTTAGTACCATGGACCACATACACACCCTTCGGAAAATTGTACAGAAGACAGAAGAGTACAATCTGCCACTTTTTTTTAAAACTTTACCCCCAGCTAGGATTTTCTCCTGTGTCGTGGATGCAGTTTACAAACATAAATTGCACGAGGACAAATACCCAGAACTGGAAAAATTATTTTTAAGCCATACAAATACTCGTTCTGTACGGGATTTGAACCCGCGGCCCCCAGCGCAACAACTCATTGCTAAACCACTGCGCCTCTTTGCCTTGCGTATGTGGACTATAAGAAAGCCTTTAATTCCGTCGAAATTTGGGCGGTGCTATAATCCCTTCAGCGGTGCCAAGTTGACTATCGGTATATCGAAGTGCTGAAGTATTTGTATAGTAGGGCTACGATAGCTTTCCGTGTACAGAACTAGAGTACGAAACCTATCCAACTGCAGAGAAGTGTAAGACAGGGTGACGTTATATCCCCGAAACTCTTCACCGCTGCATTGGAAGCCGTTTTCAAGCTACTGGACTAGAAAGGATACTGTATTAACATCAATGGCGAGTACATCACTCACCTTCGATTTACCGACGATATAGTCCTTATGGCAGAATCGCTGGAGGACCTAAGCACTATGCTCAATGACCTCAATAGTGTCTCCCGACGGATAGGTATTAAGATGAACATGGACAAAACAAAGATCATGTTTAATGTCCATGTCACACCTATGCCGGTAGTTATTGGGAGCATTAAGCTCGAAGTTGTTGACGAGTATGTTTATCTGGGACAAATAGTCCGACTAGGTACGTCCAACTTCGACCGAGAGGTCAATCGACGGATTCAACTCGGTTGGGCAGCGTTCGGGAAATTACGGCACCTCTTCTCGTGAGGTATACCTCAAAACTTGAAAACGAGACTGTACAACCAGTGCGTGTTGCCAGTGACGACATATGGAACTGAGACGTGGTCCTGCACTGCTGGGCTATGCTCGGAGTTTCTCTGCATGATAAACTTAGAAATGAGGATATCCGCAGTAGAACCAGAGTGACAGACATAGCATATAAGTGGCAACGGGCTGGTCAAATAGCTTGAAGAACCGACAACCGATGGGGAATAAAGGTTCTCGAGTGGCGGCCTCGTACCGGCGGACGAAGTGTGGGGCATCCCCCCACTAGATGGAGTGACGACCTGGTAAGACATGCAGGAAGTCAATGGATGCAGGTGGCTCAGGACCGTTTTTTGTGGCATTCCTTGGGGGAGACATATGTTCAGCAGTGGACTTGTGAAGGGCTGTAATGATGATGAATGATGATGAATAAATTAAGAAATATGTTGAGTAGTCATTTTCTCCAAAATCTGTTCTCAGTGTTAGGGATAAAATTAAAAAATTTTGAAATAGAAAATGATTTCTTGGTTAATTTCATGCACCATAGTAACTTACTTTTAATTTGGTTAGTAACTTACTTTTAATTTGTTGCAAATATGAAGTAATGTAAAGAGGGCCACTCAATACTTTAGGATTTTTAAGCGTCGCTATTGTTTTAAAAATCTGCAAACTTTTTGATATTTACGTTACATAGATACTTCTTTAATGTTTTTTTTAATCTAAAAATAATCACTTTTGAAATAAAGTCATAAAGTTGTAGTTATCTATGGTTTTCTTTCTATATAATTATGTTATTACTCTAAGTAACATGAGTAAAGAGTATATGAGTGGACTTTTGGCGGGAATTTGACCGGCGGCGGTTTGCTGCTTTGTGTATTAAGTGTCTGCGCATGTGAACTATTAGTGGAAACTATAAAACAGGTGCTCTGACGGTGATATGATTCTCAAAATAAGGTGTCTGTCTGCTTAGGCGCCTAGAGATACCATCGCCAACCGTCAGCTGTCTGCTGGCTCAAGTTGCCGTCAAAATCTCCCAAGGGCTGCACAATGTGACGCATCAACATATGTAAAGCAGTATACTATGAAGGATATTATAATATATTGTAACTTCAGGCTCAGAAGGGCTAGATCCCAGAGCCGTAAAGCCAGTTATTAAGAAGAAGAATAAGAGTATATGAGTATGATAATTTGTTTAACACATGAATACTTTGTAAATATGTCAAACAAAAATTGGAATGATTAAAAAGTAACACATTATTTCTTCCACTGTGATAGCAAAAGGGAATGGAAACATGCGCGCTGAATCTGATAGTATTTACCCTGATCCTGGATTCTGGACAAAAACCTCAATAATACAGTTATGCTACGGGATATTGGTAAACCTAACTATGGTGACAATTGGTCTGGCGTTTGGCTTTTCAGCTGTGTTGTTACCGCAACTTTCGGTAACTGAGCCCAAAATTCCAACTTCAATAGCCGAAGAATCGTGGATTGGTTTGTATATTGTTACCTTCTCAATAAGCAAAATTTACTTATCACGTTCACGATAATCGCGTTGATTACTTCCATCAAGTACAGTGACTGCCAGTAAAGTGTGTAATACATTCGCTCTTGTTACACTACTGTAATATGTCCTGCGAATAATTTTACACTGCCATTGCCTATGTAAGCTTAGAGAACATCAACTTTGTTCATTATAATTTTTCATTATTTTCAGTGGCGGTAAAGGTAATTCGTTTAAAATATTATTTTCTCACCGTTACATGTAGTTTATATTACATCTGCTTAGCAGGCGGTTGAACAATTAACAATGACAATATTTCGCACATTTATTGTCGTATTTCAACATGGGAGGTAGTTTACCTACATAAATTTCACAAGTACCATCATCCAGACCGGGAATAATTATTTGTAGGCCATACAAATTCTTGTTCCATGCGGGATTGAAACGTTGCAACTCATTGCTAAGCAATTGCGCTACGGAGCCATAAAAATGCATGGGATAGTCATACAAAATACAAGTTAGGATAGTTATACAAAACACAAGTATAAATATAAACAATGAATCTGATCATCATCATCAATAAAGCCCTTCACAAGTCCACTGCTGAACACAGGGTTCCCTCAAGGAATGCCACAAAACACGGTCCTGAGTCACCCGCATTCATTGATTTCTTGCATGTCTTACCAGGTCGTCACTCCACCATCTATTGTGGGGACGTCTACAACTTCGTCCGCCGGTACGCGGCTGCCACTCGAGAAACTTTTTTCCCCATCGGTTGTCGGTTCTTCGAGCTATATGGCAGGCCCATTGCCACTTCAGCTTACTAATCCTTTGAGATATGTTGATAACTCTGGTTCTGCTGCGGATATTCTCATTTCTAAGTTTATCACGCAGAGAAACCCCGAGCATAGTCCTCTCCATAGCTCGCTGAGTGACCTTGAGCTTCATCATACGGCTAGCAGTGAAGGAACACGTTTCAGTTCCATAGGTCATCACTGGCAACATGCACTGGTTGTACAGTATAGTTTTTAAGTTTTGAGGTATACCTGATTAGAAGATATGCCGTAATTTCCCGAACGCTGCCCCGCCGAGTTGAATCCGTCGATCGACCTCTCGGTCGAAGTTGGGTTTACTTAGTCGGATTATTTGTCTCAGATAAACATACTGGTCAACAAATTCGAGCTTAGTGTCCCCAATAACTACCGGCATAGGTGTTACATGGACGTTACACGTGACTTTTGTTTTGTCCATGTTCATCTTAAGACCTATACGTTGGGAGACACTATTGAGGCCATTGAGCATAGTCCTCAGCTCCTCCAACGATTCTGCCATAAGGACTATATTCGGGGAAATAACGTCACCCTATCTTACACCTCTATGCAGTTGGATAGGTTTCGTACTCTGGTTCTGTACTCGGATAGCCATCGTAGCTCTACTCTACAAACACTTCAGCACTTCGACATACCGACAGTCAACTTGGCACCGCTGAAGGGACTGCAGCACCGCTGAAGGGACTGCAGCACCGCTGAAGGGACTGCAGCACCGCTGAAGGAACTGCAGCACTGCCCAAATTTCGACGGAAACAAAGGTCTTCTCATAGTCCACATACGCCAGACATAATGACAAAATGTACTCCTCGGAATTCTGTACAATTTACCGAAGAGTATGTATGTGGTCTACGGTACTAAAGCATTTTAGGAAACCGGCTTGTTCGGCTATAGGATAAGGGTGACAAACGAGCACACAGTTCACCTGATAGTAAGTGGTTACTGCGGCCCATAGACGTCTACATCTATCCTTTATTACAAATCAAAACGCAGATGCATTGTCACCCATGAGGACTATGATGCAATGCCTCATGTCCAGTAAAAGAGGGTTTCCGGTTCTCTACACTCACCATACGAAACACAGCAGCGTTAAGCTGTTATTTTACGCTGGTATTCTGTGAGAGTGTGGTTCTTCCCCGGTCGAGTCGACCCATTCAACTATACTACTAATATAGCTGCAGCTTGGCTCTACCACGTAAAAAAACTCTCGAAAACAGCACGTAGACGCGGCTCAGAAGGGAAATCGGTCTGTAGTTCTTGAAGAGAGCGTTGTCACCTTTCTTGAAGAACAAGACCACCGCATTTCTGCTCCACGCCTCCGGTGTAGTGCCACCATGGAGGATGGAATTAATGAGGTTCTGAAAGACTTTAAGTACCCGTTAGTTAGTTTTAGTTTACGACGGGCTGTTTTCCGCAACTCCACGTCTTTGCGCGCATTTTGCATGTGGGCAGGAATAATGTGATTTTTCGAGCCATGAGATCTCCCCGAAGAAGCTCAACAGTCCTTTGATGTTGTGTGCAACTTCGGGGAGTGATCCCGGCGTGCCGATATGTTTTATACCTAGCGACCTCCGGACATTTCAGCACTTGTTACTATCCTGATCTGCGGCTTGTTCAGTCTTATTAGAACTTTGGTTAAACGACTGTTTATTTCAGGCAGGGCCACCCTAGCTTGTCTACAATCTACTAGATTTTTAAAAAGCTGAGAGTGTTGATTAGTGGTGTCTACGTACCAGTGAACGAACGTTACCAAAGGGGATTGGTATGATTGGTTCCGGCATAGTGGCCTGAGCTGATCCTCTTCTGGCCAGTTCGCTTACTGCATCGTTGCCTCTGGATCCACTGTGTCCCTTTATCCATCGCAGAGTCACATTGTTGTTTTTACATATATGATTTAATCGTTGATGGCATTCATATACTAGTCCCGAGTTCACCACGTTTCCAATATTCTGATGGAGAAGTCATTAGCCTTCCTAGCATCTGTTACTATGGCCGCTTGAATGCCTTAATGCCATACATTCCGCCTGAAAGACTGTTATATGTATATGTGGTGTGTATGTGTGGATATTGAGGTCTTCAGAGAAAGTTCCAGATCCTACACCTTCATTTGTTTTAGAACCATCGGTGAAAACTCAAATTTTTATGGGCTTAATCCTTCCGGCTGGCTGGTTTCATTTAATTGTATCTTGTACTTCTTATGAAATACAAATTATTTAGGAATCTTATCGTACTTGGCTTGAAGATTTTTGAGTGAATTCTATCAATTATGCCTGTATGAGGGAAACTATTCTTACTCCAAAAATTTTGAGTCTTGAGTCTGATGGCAGCTAAAGTCGCTTCTTGTTGTATATGTAGATGAAACGGGGTTAGCTCCAGCATCGCTTCTAAGGCTGCTGTTGGCGTAGTCCTTATGCATCCTGTGGCAGCCATACATGCCAGTCTCTGGTAGCGCTGAAGCTTCTTTATAGTGGTGGTTTCATTTGTCTTGGTCTACCATATCAGAGCGCCGTATGTGATCATAGGCCGAATTACAGTTTTGTACAGCCACAGTATAATTTTTGGCGTCAGACCTCATCTTTTGTCATAACAGATACAGATTGAGGTGATGGATTTTTTATGGAAGGGTGATAATCGAGTACAAGGATTTTGAAAATGGCAGGATGATCAGCCCATGTATTAACTAGATTACACTTATTACGTGACAGGTGGCTCGGTAACGTGTTTTGCCACAATATAAGAGAAAGTCCTGCGATCGGCAGTGGACTTCTGATAGGCTGTAATGATGATGATGAGTTATATTAAAATCGTCTGTGCATTGCCGACGCATGAGAATTTATCATAACACCCCGTGTATTTTGTAAAAAAGACTATAGGATAGCCTAGAAAGATCTTAATATGAACTCCGTCAGCTGGCGTTTTAACTATCTCGTATTTGTTCTTGCTCAGCACATAAAAGTGCTGGCTCATGTGCTTCTGTTATTGGGGATTTGCCTTAATCATCACGATCTTCAACACTGACGTTCGCAGTACCAATCGTCTTGTACCTTTTAACACCGTATAACCGATTTGGTTATTTGACGCTTGGTGTAAAGAGATGTGGTATTGATCATTGTTGTGATGGTCATTACATAATGACCATCACAACAATGATAAGAAGATTGTGACCAACACCATTGTTGGTTACAATCTTCTCATCAGGTATACCTCAAAACTTGAAAACAAGATTGTACAGCCAGTACGTGTTGCCAGCGATGACTTATGAATCTGAGACGTGGTCCTTCACTGCTGTCCGTATGAGGACGCTCAAGGTCGTTGAGCGAGCTACAGAGAGCATAGATTCTTTGCGTGATAAGCTTAGAAATAAGGATATCTACAGTAGAACCAGAGTGACTGACATATCCCAACGGATTAGTAAGCTGAAGTGGCATTGGACCGGCCATATACCTCGAAGAACCGACAATCGATGGGGAAAAAAGGTTTTCAAGTGGCAGGCTCGTACCTGTAGGCGAAATGCAGGGCGACCCCCCACTACATGGAGTGATGACTTGGTATGACATACAGGAAGTCGATGGATGTAGGTGGCTCAGGACCGTGCTTTGTGACATAACTTGGGGGAGGCCTATGTTCAGCAGTGGACTTGTGAAGGGCTGTAATGATGATGATGATGATATCATTAACATATTATAATATTCTATTATATATTTATGTCAGTAAAGGCAATTATCAAAAATAATTTTATTTTATTTTAGTGAGCGTGTTAGCCTTAGCAACTCCGTTTGGATGTTTGGTTAGCGGGTACTTGATGGATCACTTTGGACGGCGTAAAATGCTGATTCTATGCGAGTTACCTATCGCCGTTGGTTGGATTTTAACAGGCTTTGCTGGCACTGCCCGGGATATCATTATAGGTAATATAACGTTTTCAGAGTAAGCTTGCCGCGTAGAGTCTGCTTAAGGGAACCACCATTCTTTATTTATTACATAATTATAACATCGTTACAGTTATATTAACCAATGCGATGTTATAACTAACCTAACTACGAGTATAAGAAAACTACTGACTATAAAGTAATGAATAATGAATAATAATACGAGGGCTGCACTAAAAGTATCGAGAATGGAATATTTCCACTGTTCCTGTCATATTAATTTTTTTTAATTGAAAAGTCCTTGGTTTTAAAAATCGAATACCATTTATTTACCATTTGTCTTGTCACAAGGTTTTGTCAAACTTGTTTAGTCGTTGAGAAAATGGAATTGACTCGAAAAAATTCAAGAGCGATGATTTATTATGACTTTCGAAGTGGTTTAACACAAAAACAGTGTGTTGAGAGAAAGAAAACGTTGATGCTGTGCGTAAGCTGATTGAGGAAGATCGACATGTGACATACCGCGAAATTCAGGCAACTTTAGACATTGGCATGAGTCAAATACAAATAATCTGGCATGAACAATTAGGTGTAAAAAAGTTGTTTTCCCGATGGATACCGCATTCGCTCTGTGAATAGCAAAAAGCGGCTCGCGTTACTTGGTGCGTCAGAACTCTCGAAAGATTCCACGCAGGATCCTCAAATGCTGTATACAACATCGTATCAGGTGACGAATCCTGGATATACACGTACGAACCCAAAACAAAAAACCAGTCACGAGTTTGGGTGTTCGAAAATTAGTTAAAGCCAACAAAAATTGATCGTTCACGGAGTGTTGCAAAAAAAATGGTGACACGTTTGTCTCCAAAACCAGCCATGTTACAACTATTCCTCTTGAGGGACAACGAACGGTGAATGAAAAAAAGAATGGTATGCTAGCACTTGTTTGCCACAGGTCGTTTCTGAACTCCGTAAAGAGAACTGCAACCGTCGCATCATCCTCCATTACGACAATGCGAGTTCTCACACCGCACACAGAACAAATGAGTTTTTAGAGCAAGAAAACATAGAATTATTAGACCATCCACCGTACAGCCCCGACCTAAGCCCTAATGATTTCTATACTTTCCCTAAAATAAAGAATAAATTGCGTGGACAGAGATTTTCATCACCTGAAGAAGCTGTGGACGCCTACAAAACAGCCATTTTGGAGACCCCAACTTCCGAATGGAATGGTTGCTTCAATGATTGGTTCCATCGTATGGAAAAATGTGTCAAATTTTGCGGAGAATACTTCGAAAAGCAATAAATACATTTTTAAATAGTAATGTTGTGTCACTTCCTTGATTCCCGAAATTTTCAGTGCCGCCCTCGTACTAACATGATTATAAAATAAAATACTAATTAAAAAAAATACAATTTTCAACGCATTTGTATGCTGCAATTGTGAACTTCGTCTGACTACATGTAAATATGTCAATACAATATCCTGTAAGATGATATTAACGTAGTGTAAAAGTGTCAATGGTCCATTCTGAAGCAACATTGTCCGATCAGCGGGCACGAGGAGGAACGAGGCGCGGTGACGAGAACACACGTAATTATCAGGTACACGTAGCTTTAGCACAGCGAGCATATCCGGATGATGTATCCATCCACGTAATACGTTCCATACATAATTAATAAGCGCGATGTCTCTCCTCACACTCCGGCGGCTGTATCCAACCATACCCAGTAAAAATAGACTCGGATACATCAATGGAAAACTAGGATAGGTTCCGTACTGCTTGAAAGATAAAAATCGTGTAAATTTATTTTGAAGTTTTTCGATCATGACACTATATTTGCTTTCCTGTGGATTCCAAATAATGACATTCGTTTCAAGTTGACTTCTTACGAGAGCATTATATAAAATTCTGATATCATCATCACTATCATCATTACAGCCCTTCACAAGTACACTGCTGAACATAGCTATCCTTCAAGGAATGCCAAAAAGCACGGTCCTGAGCCACCTGCATCCACCGACTTCCTGCATATCTTACCAGGTCGTCACTACTTCTAGTGGGGGAACGCCTTACACTTCGCCTACCGGTACGAGGCTGCCACTCGAGAAACTTTTTCCCCATCCGTTATCGGTTCTTCGAGCTATATGGCCGGCCAATTGCCACTTCAGCTTACTAATCCGTTGGGCTATGTCCGTCACTCTGGTTCTACTGCGGATATCCTCATTTCTAAGTTTATCACGCAGAGAAACTCCGAGCATAGTCCTCTCCATAGCTCGCTGAGCGACCTTGAGCTTCCTCATCTGGCCAGCAGTGCAGAACCACGTCTCAGTTCCATATGTCATCACTGGCAACACGCACTGGTTGTACAGTCTCTTTCTCAAGTTTTGATATATACCTGACGAGGAGATGTGTTTCCCGAACGCTGCCCAACCGAGTTGAATTCGTTTCTTGACCTATCGGTCGAAGTTGGACTTACCTAGTCGGACTATTTGTCCCAGGTAAACATACTCGTCAACAACTTCGAGCTTAGTGCTCCCAACAACTACCGGCATAGTTGTGACATGGACATTAAACATGATCTTTGTTTTGTCTATGTTCATTTTAAGACCTAGCCGTTGGGAAACACTATTGAGGTCATTGAGCATAGTGCTTAGGTCCTCTAGAGATTCTGCCATAAGGACTCTATCGTCGGTAAATCGAAGGTGAGTGATGTACTCGCCATTGATGTTTGTACCGTATCCTTTCCAGTCCAGAAGCTTGAAAACGTCTTCCAATGCAGCGGTGAAGAGTTTCGAGGATATGACGTCACCCTGTCTTACACCTCTCTGCAATTGGATAGGTTTCGTACTCTGGTTCTGTACTCGGATAGCCATCGTAACTCTACTGTTCAAGCACTTCAACACTTCGATATACCGACAGTCAACTTGGCACCGCTGAAAGGCCTGCAGCACTGCCCAAATTTCGACGGAATCAAAGGCTTTTTCATAGTCCACATATGACAGACATAGTGGCAAATTGTACTCCTCGGACTTCTCTACAATTTGCCGAAGGGTATGTATGTGGTCTATGGTGCTAAAGCCTTTTCGGAAACCGGCTTGTCCGGGAGGCTGGTAGTCGTCAAGTCTGCGCGCGAGACGATTCGTCATGACCCTCGAAAACAGCACGTAGACGCGGCTCAGCAGGGAAATCGGTGTGTAGTTCTTCAAAAGAGCGTTGTCGACTTTCTTGAAGAACAAGACCACCACACTTCTGCTCCACGCCTCCGGTGTAATGCCACCATGGAGGACGGAATTAAAGAGCTTCTGAAGGACTTCAAGTACCGGTTTTCCACCCGCTTTCAGAAGCTCCGTGTATTCCATCCTCGCCTAGGGCCTTGCCGTTTTTAAGGTACTGAAGAGCCATTCTCATAATCTCGTTTAGACTGACGTCCGGGATATCATCGGAATTATGTCGGATAAGACTCGCTCTTGGATCGTTACTCACACTTGCGTGTGGCTCCAATGATGATGTGTACAGCTGCCTATAGAACCTATCAATCTCACTCAAAATCTCAGGTGTCCCAGAAATGACGCTGCCACACTCGGTCTTCAGCTTCGACAGTTGGCTCTTTCTGGCAGACAGATCTCTGGCAAAGACTTTGGAGCCCTGGTTCCACTCAATCGCTTCATCAATACGAGCAGTATTAAAGTTGCGTAAGTCCCGCCGCATGCATTTGGAGATCTGTCTGTTCAGTTGCCTATATGTTGTCAAATCTACTGAAGACTGCAGCTTCATATCCCTTCTAACAGCCATGAGATTAAGAGTATGATCGGAGAGTTTTTGTGTTCTTCTGCGGCCGGTCTTGTAAAACTTCGCTCCGACCGCATGGACAGTTTCCACGAGCTTGTCATTCATATCGTCCACTGCATTGCAATCTTCCAGGCACTGAAAACGGTTTCGTAACTCGAGCTTTTAGCGTAACTTCGGGACTTTGGATTAGAGCAAGAGGGGGACGGAGCGTTGACTTCATTAGACAAGACTTCTCCAACTCAACGTTTAGGTTCAGTGTGCCTCTCACCATTCGGTGATCGCTGCCGGTTTTCACCCTCGTGATCACTGAGACATCACTGAACATTTTTCATCTGGTCGTCATAGTTTAGACCAAATCGTAACACTTAAAACTTGCAAAAACGCTCGTCTCGGGCGATAAAACTGTTTGACGGCTTGGGCCGGCGGGCATTCGTTTTTGCACGCGACGGCCGTGTGAATATTCTGGAACAATCAATTGTCCGCGACGGCCGTGTCGATTAGATGTCGGGAAGTTACGTTAGAATCGTAAGGTCGCGTTAAGACCGCCTCCTTGCGTTGTCTTATTTCGCTCGTATACGTGACAACGAGGCTTTCCTTGATTTTTGAGTGATTAATTTAACTTCGATTGCCATTAATTTGCGAGTTGCTTTTGTGGTATTTTAATATCGTAGGAAGGAATTTTTGCTTTGTCGGGTGGAACGCTAAAACTTTGTGAACCGGGAGGAGATCGCGTTCCTCTTCGATTATAGTTTTGTGCTAAGTGACGTTAGACTTGAGTTCAGATAACGGTGAACGCCCACTGGAGTGATTGCACATTGTGCCACAGAGCAGCGCATGTGGGTCTGCTGGCCGATTACATCGGTGACGTCAGGTTACATTACACACCTTCTTACACCACTCACACCTATCATTTACTTGCCCCTGACGGTACCTTGTGATCGACCCTACCTCCGGAACTCGGTAAGTTTGTGTTTGTTTATCCAGCCATTATATAATAATTATCCATAGGCCATTTGGGCCCGAACCCTCTAGTCGCCCGTCGAGTGGATCTCTCATGGGCCCTGGTCCAGTCGACCTCTGTCGGGGCAACTGAGGGCCGTAACATTCTCTGGTAGCAGAGCGTGGTTGATTGTTTCTCCAATCACGCCCGGCCGTAATATAATAGAAAATTTTTTTTTTTTTGTTAGCGGATCGGTGGTTAGAACCACGCCCGTTAGGCTGCGCAAGCAGGGGTGTAGTTTACGGTTAGGTACCTACGCGTCAAGTATTTCGGGTAGGTAGATTAAATTGCCGAAGTGTTGGTCGCCTGAGCGAGGCATCTTGCTGACCGACTGTAGTGTGTACTTGCCGTGTAGGGTAATTTGTATTTAATTTAATTTAATAGTAATTTGTAGTTAGTAGTGATGCCATCGCACAAGCCACCGACGCTTCGCCTACAGGCGGAGCTGCGCTGGGCCGCGAATGCCCATACTTTGATAGGGCGACCCGATCGGGTCCATAGTATAGGGAAGCGGCTCGAGCAGGTCGCTGCCCGAAGGGCCGTAGTGGAAGAGGCTTACACTGAGCTTGTGGCCTCGGATGTGGAACAGGGAGTCCTAAACTCCTGCCTCGCGGACTACGAGCAATTCTTTTCGCTCACGGACGACTTGATCGAGGCGGGGGCCAAGTATGCTAATGAAGCGCGTGAAGCTCGGTTGAGTGACCTGCCCGAGTCCCCTCGGAAGCAGCCTACTCAGCCGGAGCTGTTGGGACGACTCCCAACTCTGGACCTGCCAAAGTTCTCCGGGGTCCTCTCCGACTGGCTGACCTTTGTTGACCTTTTTGATAGCCTAGTGGGCGCCCGGAGGGACTTGACACCAAGCTAGAAGATTTCGTATCTCCTGGCCTCACTGCAGGGGGAGGCCCTGGGCATCGTCGGCCATTTGAAATTGTCGGACGACGCCTACCAGACTGCCCGGGACCTCCTCGCCGGAAGGTACGCCAACGTCCGGCGAATTGCGGACGAATACGTTAGGCAGCTTCTAAACCTCCCGCTGCTTTGGGACCGGGCCAGACTACGTCCGGACATCGTAAATCCCGTCGTGGTGGCCTGTAATTCGTTGAGGCGGCTGGATTTACCGGTGGACGAATGGTCCTTTTTGTTGCTCCACATCGTGCTGTCCCGTCTGCCTCTATATCTTCGGATACATTTTGAGGAGAGGTACAGCGGTGACGGCGCCTCCTATATTCCGCCCTTCAGGGACCTGCTGCGGTTCTTAGAAGAGCAGTGCCGGCAAATTGAGAACGCAGCGGGCACCGTCGCGACCTACGGGTTGCCAACCGAGCCGTGCCCAGGGAGAGGCGGAATCCGCCGGGCAAGTCGCAGCCAACCCCCCTAAGGCCGAGCGGAGCTCCCGCGGGAGGGCGCCGCCCCCTACCATCTTATAGCAGCCTAGCGGTCAGGGAGGCGCCCCCCTGCTCCTATTGTCGAGCATCCGATCACTGGGTGACGTCGTGCCCGAAGTTATTGGGTAAGCCGGTCTCGGCGAGGCGAACTACCACTAAGGAGCGCCGCTGATGCTACTCGTGCTTGGAAAGGCACCTCCAACGAGACTGCGCGCACCAGCGGCCCTGTCCGCACTGCCAGGGCAACCACTATGTCGTTTTGTGCCTGGGTGCGAACGGCGCTTCCTCTCAGAGCTCTGTCGGGCCCTCAACTCCCACGGGCGCGGGCGCTCAGCCACGCCCTTTGTCCGGGGACGCTCGGCGTTCACCTGCCGGCCACCGCGGCCCTGGGTTTGAAGAGGGTCCCTCCCCCGACCAGTCGGGGGGTCGTTCCCCCAGGGGCGGGGGGGTCGATGACATTGGAGGTTTTCTCCCTAACGTCCGTATAAATGACAGCGCGGTTCGTTGTGCGTCGGGCTTGAGACCGACAGACCCTCAATGGTCCCAACCTGGGCCTATAAATTTTTGCTGGGGGCCGACACGCTGGGGTTCATCTTGTTAGGCGAGAAACGAGCCCTATAGCACAATGGCTTGTCAGCCATGTCCACTGTATTTGGGCACAGCTTCTTTGAACCGGTTCTGTGGTCTCCACCTCCTCAGACGGCCGACCCGCTCTCTGTTGTGGGCGTGTCCCTTTCGGACGACGTCCAGCGGTTCTGGGAAATTGAGGAGCCACCACACGCGGCTCGAGTCAACCCTCTGGACCTTGAGTGCGAGTTGTTCTACCAGAACAATACCGGCCGTCGTGTCGACGGTCGTTTTGTCACTCGCTTACCCTTTCTTGACTCACGGCCCCCTTTGGGTCAATCTCGTACCCTGGCCGAAAAGAGGTTGCTTTCCATGGAGAGCCGTATGCGGCGCGACCCAGCCTTTCGCGACAAATATGTCGAGTTCATGCGCGAGTATCAAGAGCTGGGTCACATGTCATCGTCACACTTCGACTGGCGGTCACAGGAGCACTACTTCCTCCCTCACCATGTGGTCTTGAGGACCCTTGGGAGTAAGATTCGGGTAGTTTTTAACGGCTCCGCCCCCTCGTTAAATGGTGTGTCCTGAACCAGTGTCTTCACTCTGGTCTTGCACTGCCTTAAGATAAAGCCGAGATTCCTAAAAGCTTTTTTAAAAATATTGCATGCCTTAAGCGAAAGCGCAAGGTGTGTTCTACTATCGCCTAAAAATTAAGACTCCAACGTTTTTAAAATATGATTACGAAAATTAAGTTCCGGGACCGTCTCGACGCCTAAGTCGTCTTGTCCACGTGTCAAATCCACGTATTGCCTACGCTCACTCAGATAATTTGCAAAAAAATTGGTGTAAAACCTAACTCGGCACACTTTACCAACAAAATATCGTTATCAACGGTATCAAAGGCTTTTTGAAAATCAAAATATGCGGTGTCAACCTGGCTCCCAGCATCTCCTACTGGCACCACATAATTCATAAAATACATTAAATTACTCCCCGTACTTCGACCTAAACGAAAACCACGCTGAGCTTCGGTAAGCTGCGTGTACACTTGATTATAAACATATTTATAAATAATCGACACGAATACCTTAGTGACTGCAGGCAATACGGCTACCGGTCGATATTCATTCACCTTGGAACCCGATCCTCCTTTTAAAACAGGAATCACTCGGGTCACTTTCCATATGCCCGGGTAGTAACCTTCTTTTAGACACAGGTTAAAAATATGTAAGTAGCTTTGCTTGGGTGAGATCTATTAATTTGTGACTGTGGCATTATTTAGACTTAAGATAATCATTAAAGACAATTTATTTAATCTTATCAATATTTCTATTTGAATAAAATCTCTAATTTTTTTGATAAAATTTAGTCTAGATCACTCCTGTTATTCTATTTATTCGTGAAGTTTTATTACAATCTATTCAGCATTCCATCATCTAATGTGTATGTACGAGCTAATCACTGGATTAGCTCGTACAGACAGACAAAAGAACTCATGAACTCGTGAATATTTCATACAAAACTATTTACAAACAAAATGAACATTAGTTATTAAGAAAACTCTCAGAACATGTTTAGTTCACAAATTAGCAGAACCGGAGTGAATTTTTTTTTTGTAGTTTTGTTATTATTGATTCATTGACTCTTAATTTAATTTTCTTAACTGCCGCAGTATTGAATTGTTTTTATAGTATCACGGACAAAATTCAAAATTACCGCATCAAACACGTCATAAATAGCTGATGTTGCTATTTTGAGCTGGAATTTCGTGAGGAATGCCCTGAAATTTAACGTAGAAATAAAAATAAGTAAAAAATATATTTTTCTTTTATATGATATACAGGTAGAATTATTGTTGGACTTGGCTGTGGTATGGCAATGAGCACCCCTAGGGCTTACTTAACAGAAATATCGCTTCCCAATATGCGTGGTGTCATCGGTAGCTTTCCCAACATTGCTATGTCACTCGGAATTACGGTTCAGGTTTGGAAATATATACCTTATTTAATTATTTTGTTATCTTGAAGTAGTATTATTAAGGAATTGTTATTAAAACACCATTTTCAGTTAATAAAAGTTTAAGCTAGGCATAAATTTTACAAGTGTTTTAATTAATCAACATTTGGACGAAGCGAAAGATTCTAGATGTAGACACTCTCTTCTTTCATATATAGAATAGATTTCACCGGCGTTACTGGCAGTCTACGAGAAAGAATTAAGTGAACAGTAGATTGCAACATTAACAATAAAATCAATGTACTATCTAAAATAACAACAATAATAAATATTGTTTCCAGGCTGGGCTAAGTTCTGTATTGAGATGGCGTGATTTGTCATTCATCAACGGCGTCTATTCGATAATCTTATTTTTTATAAGCTTTGTCTTTCCGGAGACTCCTTATTTTGTTCTCATGAAAGACACTCCAGAGAAGGCCAAAGAGATTTTAAAGAAGTTCAGATCAGCCAAGTACAATATTGACGCAGAAATGGAACAGCTAATAGACTATAAGGCTGATAACAATATTCGTAGGTTAATAACATTGCTATTAATATATAATTAATGTTACGTGCCGACATATGCCTAATCGGAATATGAGTTGGCTCACTAAACCGTTGGCAAACGTTGGTGTGTATTTCAAAGTGATGGGTGTAGCGCATGAGTCTGCTGAAGTTGTAAAAGCCAAAAGGCTAACACCACTAACATCACAGAATCTACATGGTGTAGCGGTATAGATGTAGTGATGTTGGCTGAAGTATTGTTCAGTTTGGTGAGGCGCGCGATTGCGAGGAGTTACTCGTCGAACTAGGTAACATAATTTCGTATTGCATGTGGATCTTATTTTTTAATTCATATTTAAATAATTAATTTCCTCGAAGTAACGCCTAATTTAATAAATAAGTAAAACTTGTTAAAGTATTTCAAGAAGGTCGTTTCATTTTATGGTTTCATTTGTTTCCAGGCTTTCTTTTTGGAGCCAGGTAAAATTCCTTTTTCGAAGTTCTGCATGTAAACCATTTTGGATTGTGACGATCTACATAATATTTGCACAGTTATCTGGAGTTACGATTATATTAATGTGGACTGAAGAAATTTTAGAGGTACTTTATTTAATTATATTATTAATTAATTTCTACAGAATATGGTAGAAAATAATAATAATAGGTAAACAAATCAGGAGATGTGCAGCAGTGTCTTCCTAATAACGACTAAAAATAAAAATAAAACTGTGATTACTAAGCGTGGCATCTATGGCAAATATCCCGCCTCTGAGGCAATTTATGGGGGAGGCCTATGTTCAGCAGTGGACTTTAATAGGCTGTAACTGTAACTGTAACAGTAACGGTATTTTAGAAAATTATCCAAAGTTGTAAAGTATACGCCCATAGCTGATCATCGGCTTATTTATATTTCTAAAATAATTTTTTGTAGCATAGAAGAGGTGGTTGCCTAAACTTGACTGTTTATCTAAGTTTTCTCACATTGTTTTCATCAACACTAAAAGTTGCCATTAATAATTTTCAACATAATACAAAAGGATTAAAATCTAGCTCTTATCCCCCAAGAGTATCACGTAGTTATTAGTCTATCAGTCAAAATACTAAAAGAAATAAAAATAGGCTTTTTTTTAATTCTAGACAGATAACAAGAATATTGAAATTAATTTATGTTTTTTTTTTTTCAAAATAATATGTAAGTAATTTTACGATCAATATTGTAACTTACTTCTTAAATGAGTCCAATGTGGAATATTACTTACTTAATTTATTTAATAACTTAGGCATCATATTAGCATGTAATGTTTTCATTTTAAAAGATATAATAGAACAAAGGAGAATGCCAGATCGTATCCCACCTTGTACAAAAAAGGTAAAAATATGAAAAATAATCTTATGAATTTTGAAGTTTTTTTGTAATAAATCGTTATTTTGTACAACTTACGGTAAAATATTATTAAAATAAAAAGGAACTCAAAGGTTAATATTTACATCTCCAGTCTTTTCTAATAACATCTGCATTTATTTGTACGAATAAGTACATACGCATAAAGTATCAAACAATAAATATTTCTATTAAAATATATTATGAGTCTTTGTCCTATAAAAATGTTACTTATCAATTTTTATTTTCAATTATTATTATAAGTCGATAACAATCATCAATTGCATTAGATAATTACTGAATAACAATCATTGATTTTCGTGCATTTTGTGAAACGATACACACATGTCATTGTGTCAATATCGAAAATACGTATGTCAAATTAATGTCGAATATTTTCAAACATTGACTAATTTGTGCTTGTGAAATATATTGATTATGATAATATCACATTTTTGCTTATTTTGATAATTACTACGGATATTCTGATAATTGTATCGACGATGTTGAGGTGCGATAGGATGCAGGGGCATGTTGTCTCCTCATTTCGATTTACAATCTTAACTCCTCTTTCAACATGGAGATCTTTTCAACAGATATATTTAGTTTTATACACAGAACACAATTACTCTCTACCAATAGGAACACACAATTACTGTCGCCCATAGGAAGGGAGCTTCGAAAGAAGCGCTTTGTGCCAAACCCGATCGAAGGCCTACGCAATGTCCAAACTAACGGCCAATGCCTCCCCCTTGGACTCTACTGCCTCCGCCTATCTATGAGTTAAGTAGACCAGAAGATCATCAGCTGATCGACCCCAACGAAAACCGTATTGGCGGTCACTAATTAGCTGGTGATCCTCGAGGTACCGCATGAGGTAGCAGTTTATAACGAATTCCATTATTTTGGAGAACAATGGGGTGATGGCGATAGGCCTGTAGTTGGACAGGTCTGAGCGGTTGCCATTTTTAGGGATCGGGTGCACAAAAGCTGTCTGCCATGATTTCGGGACTACGCCTAGGGAGTAGAAGTACCGGAAAAGACGCGTTAGAACCGGTGCCAACTCCGGAGCACACGTCCTCAGCACAATTGGGGGGATTCCGTCAGGCCCACTCGACTTGTGGATGTCCAGTGAGAGGAGTGCTCTGCGAACCGAACGCTGTGAGAACTGCACATCCGGCATGGAGCACTCACACCGCGGGATGGTCGGCGGTGTGTTCCCCCCGTCATCAACAGTCGAGTTGGACGCAAAAAGGGAGCCTAAAAGGTCGGCTTTCTCTTTTGCGTCGTGGGCCAGTGAGTCGTCCTCCCTGTGCAGAGATGGTAGTGATTGCTTACAGAAATTCCCTTGGACAGCCTTGGCGAGAGACCAGAATGCACGAGTTCCCGAAGGAAGGCGAACTAGTTTCTCGCCAATTCTGCCTATGTGCTCTGACTTTGCCTTGGCAATAACTCTTTTTAAGTATGCTGGTGTTTACATCCCGAGCCGCCGAAGCCGCAGCCCAGGCTTGATAACACTCCTGCTTACTGCGTAATGCAGTCTTACAGGAGCGACCAAACCAAGGCTGAGATCTGCCTCCGATGGGTACCACAGATAATGGAATAAATAGTTCCATTCCCTGTAGCACCACATCAGTGACAGAGTCATCAACAGCGCTGGGATCATCCGGCGAGAAGCAAACCCGCCCCTATGGGTAGGAAGCAAAGAAAGACCGCATTTCGTCCCAATCCGCCGACCTGTAATGCCAAACACGGCGGTAACCTGCAGAACGCAAACGCGAGGGGAGCGTGAGTGGCACCACACTCCGGATCAGACAATGGTCCGAAGAGCCGAGAGGGGCATCGACGGAAACCTGATACCCGTCCGGATAAGAGGTTAGCAGAAGGTCCAACAGGGAAGGTGTATGATCCTCAACATCTGGAATCCGCGTAGGCGATGTAACCAGTTGTGTCAGACCATATGCCAAGGCAAAGTCATGAACAGATCTCCCCGCATGATCGGTTAAACGTGAACCAAGCCATTCGGCGTGGTGGGCGTTAAAATCGCCAAGGATCACGATCTCTGCGGATGGGACCTGTTGTAGCAAGAAATCTGTAGCCATTTGGACATGGTCGAAGAGTCGGTCTGTTTCGGCATTACCGCTATGGGACCTATAGAGGCATCCGTAGACGCGCGGGTGGTCGTCGCTGTCTACGCGTAGCCAAAGGATGGACAGGTCCGAACCTTCAAGACTGCCGAGGCATCGAGAACAGATATCCTCAGCCGGCCGATATCCGGCATATCAGCCGGTGAGGACATCTGCGTCTCGGTCAGAAAGAGCAAGGCCGGTTTCGCCGTCTCGAGATGGTAGTGGATGGCGTTTAGGTTCGAGTGAAATCCCCTGATGTTGCAGAAATCCGCGGACAGCGTGACAGGGGTCGCCTTGGTCATGTTGCTCAGTTTGTCCCGAGCAGTTATTGTTTTGAGGGGAATTTTGCCCCCCCCCCCTCCCCCCCGAAATACGCGGGGCAGCCTGAGCACCCACGCTCAGGAGTGGAATAGCATGGTCGTGGATGCTCAGCGAGGGATTCTCCAGGGGTGCTGGTACCCTCCTGGGGTAGTCATGTAATTCCCCTACCACGATTTTGGAAGGGGGGGGGGGAATTGGGCCTCCGGTCACCTGCACTCACCAGACGAAACGCGGAAGCAGAGCTTCCACTTCACGCCGGTATTCTGTGAGGTCGTGGTACTAACCCGGCTCGAGCCGGCCCATACGTGCAACAGCAAAAGCCGCTGCGTGGCTCTACCACCGTTAAAAGCTTTTTCAGCTTTCATACAAAGTTGCCTCACCCTGGTTTTATACCTCTGTTATATAGTTGATAATTTATTGTCCTGCCATTTTTGTAAAATTAGTTACTAATCTGTAAATATTTACACCTTCTTTAGGCGCATGTCATAATATGTATATTGAAAAATAATTTTGTAATTAATATAACTGGTTTACATGACTAGGACTTAGATTTTATGAAAAACAGGTGTTGCTAGTCTTATATTGTGTAAGGACCTTTAAGATCCTATACAAGAGAATCCCTTTTTCAATGTTATTGATCAATATATTATTATGCTCCTTAAATTCTTAAATAATTATTTATATGTATCATTAGCGCCTGACAATTTATATTCTGCAATTATAATGGATTGCAACGAGTGCTGTTCTAAAAAATAAAGTAAATGTAATTAAAGTCCAGTTTAAAAAAATCGCAAGTTCTAGAGACTTCAAATTATATAATTTGGATGAAGTAATAAAGTAGAAAAAAATGTTGCATACGGCATTCGTGTACACCACACTTTTGGGTGGGGCAAAGTTCTATAATCTGGCATTCTCCTTTAAGACATTTAAAAAAGTAAATATACTGTTTACATATACTGTATTTTATTTTTTTTAGGAATCGAAGTCAAGTGTAAATGCACATACTGGAAATATTTTGCTGGGTGTAACTAGACTTTGTGCGGGAATTCTTACTTCAATTTTGATTTTAAAAGTGAAAAGAAGGCATTTAGCCTTAATATCAAGTAAGTGTTTTTTTACTTTATAAACTAACTATAAAAATATATGTAAATAAAGGAATCATCTCGAAATCGGAGCTACTAGTTAAGGCTAAACGTGTTAAGATAGCGATAAAAATAGTACATGGTTTTCTTTAACGTAGCAATAAACGTTTGTTTGTAATGGTTATTTTGAAAAATGTAAATAAATTTATTTTAAACTCATTATAAGTGAACGGCATCCAAAGTATTTTTTTTATAGGGTAGGGTGATAAACGAGCTCACAGTCCACCTAATGGTAAGTGGTTGCTGTGACCCATAGACATCTACATCTATCCTTAATAATGAATAAAAATGCAGATGCGTTGTCACCCGTGAGGACTAAGATGAAATGCCTCTTTTTCAGTAGAAAGGGTCTCCGGTCCTCTACACTCACCATACGAAACACAACAGTGTTAAGCTGCTATTTTATGCTGGTATTCTGTGAGAGCGTGTTCCTTCCCGGTCGGGCCTAATGCGGACGAGGTGGCGAAGCTGCGGGCGGACGTGGCCCGCCTGACGTCCGCCTTGGAGACTCTCCAGAAGGAGAATGAGAAGCTCCGCGCAGACCTGGCCAGTCTGCATGAGCCTGCCTCTCGCGCGGCACCCCAGACGCAGCGCCCAAGCCAGCCCGTGCCGGTGGAGAACTAGGTTCTGAACCTGGTCCGGCAGGAGCTGGCTGCCTTCCAGCACCGGTTCTCCGTGCTGGAGGGCATCGTCCTGCGCCCCCCCTAGGGGCAAACAAGACGGTGGCGAGGCCGGCAACGGTTTCCTACGCGACGGCCACGGCTGCCACATCCAGGCCGGGGCCGTCCAGCCAGCCCTCGGGTGGGGCTGCAGTTGCCCCTCCCCCCCCTGAAAAGCCGGCTCCGGCAAAACTGATACCGGCTGAACCGGCTCCGGCTAAACCGGCGACGGGAAAGAGAGGCAAGGCAAAGGCGAAAAAGGGCAAGGCGGCAGCACAGGTGATGGCTGCGCCAGCCCCAGTGCCTGCGGCGAATGGGCCAGCGCCAGCGGCAAGCCAGCTGCCGCCGCCGCCACCGCCCCCCCAGCTCCCTACACCTCCCGCGGCAGAAGCCGGTTGGCAGGTGGTCGGGGACAAACAGAAGGGGAAGAAGGCAGCCAAAAAGGCCAAAGAGCAGGAGCGGCAGCGTCAGTTCAGGGCGCGCAAGATCGCGGCTAGGCTCCGCGCCCCGAAGACCGCAGCTGTAGTGATTACACTACAGCCGGACGCGGAAAAGAAGGGCGTTACCTACCGCGATCTGCTCGCGAAGGCGAAAGAGGCGGTGGATCTCGGGGAGCTCGGGATCACTGGAGGCCTCCGGCTCAAAGTCACCCAGACGGGAGCCCGTATGCTGGAGATCCCCGGGGAATCCAGTGGCGCGACTGCAGACGCTCTGGCTGCGAAGCTCAGAGCGTCCCTGAACGCGGACGAGGCCCGAGTGTCCAGGCCCGTCAGATGCGCAGACCTGCGCATCATGGGTCTGGACGACTCGGTATCGGAGGAGGAGTTGGTGGCCGCCGTCGCCAGGTCCGGGAGGTGCACTACTGACCAGGTCAGGTCAGGCGCCATACGCCCGGACCAACAGGGTATGCATGCCGCCACGGTGTGCTGCCCTGTTACGGCGGCCAAAACCATAGTGGAGGGCCGAAGGCTTCTGGTGGGCTGGGTCTCAGCGCAGGTTAAGCTGCTGGAGCCCAGACCTCTGAGGTGCTACCGTTGTCTCGTGGGGTATCACGTATCAGCGAAATGCGCCTCGGAGGTTGACCGCAGTGGCCTCTGCTTCCGCTGCTGTCAGCCCGGACACATATCGGCGACCTGCTGCGCCACGCCGCACTGTGATGCATGTGCGGCGACCGGCAAGCCAGCCGATCACTGGGCCGGAAGCAGAGCCTGCGTGTCACCCGCCAAGGCCAAGGCCGCGGGTAGGGGAGGGCCCTCCTCCGCCGCCACCGCCTCTATGGCCACCGCCGCAGCTGCAACTGCCGCCGCCGCCGCTGTCACTGTCGCAGCCGCCGCCGCCGCGACACCGACGCCTGCAGAGGGGCGCCCCGTGGAGGAAGCTGAAATGGAATGCCTATAACGGCCCCATTAAGCTTCCTCCAGGCGAATATCAACCACTGCGCCTGCGCTCAGGATCTGTTGCTCCAGAGCATGGCGCAGTGGTCGATTAACATCGCTGTGGTCGCTGAGCCGTATTCTGTCTGGCCTAGGAAGGACTGGGTGGCGGACCTTAACGGCTCAGTGGCCATCATTTCTTCGGCCGCCTCCGGTACCCCGACCCTTGAAGGTGTCAGGAGGGGTCAGGGGTGCGTAGCAGCACGGTTCGGGGAGTTCGTCGTTGTGGGGGTGTACTTCTCCCCGAACCGATCTCTCGCCGAGCTCCACAACTCTCTTGCAGAGCTGAGAGCAGTCGTCGTCGGAAGCTATCCCCTCCCCGTGCTTGTCCTCGGGGACTTCAATGCCAAGAACTTGGCTTGGGGTTCTCGTCGTACAGATGTGCGGGGTAGGATGGTGGAAGACTGGGCTCTGGAGACAGGCCTGGTTGTCCTAAATCAGGGTTCTGTCACCACGTGTGTGCGGATGCGGGGCGAGTCGGTGGTGGACATTTCGTTCGCTAGCCCCGCTCTGTCGCCGCGTGCCATTGATTGGCGAGTCATGGAGGGGGTGGAGACCTACTCCGACCACCGGTACATCCGGTTTGACGTCTCCACCCAGCCCTCGAGCGCGCCAGTCCAACAGGCCCCGAGTGGTCCGCGTTGGGCGCTGAAGCAGCTGGACCGGGAGCTCCTCCTGGAAGCCTCGATCGTGCAGGCCTGGGTGTCATCACCGGATAGGCCTGCCGACGTCAATGATGAGGCAGGGTGGTTCCAGGAGGCCATGTCCGAGATATGTGACGTGGCAATGCCCCGCGTCCGGCCAGGAAGCGCCCGGCGTCAGGTGTATTGGTGGTCGCGTGAGCTGACGTCTCTGCGCGAGGCGTGTGTCGCCGCGCGGCACCTGTACGCCAGGCATCGCAGGTTCCGCTTTCGTCCACCGAATGCGGCAGCCATCGAGGCGGAGCTGTACGAGGGATACAGAGCGGCGAAGACCGCCCTCCGGGAGGCTGTCATGCGGGCCCGGGATCGGGCCCGTGAGGAGATGCTGGAGACTCTCGACAGAGATCCGTGGGGGTGCCCATACAAGATGGTGCGGGATAAACTCCGCACCTGGGCCCCCCCGCTGACGCAGAGTCTCCGGCCTCAGCTCGTGGAGGACGTGGTGAGCGCTCTGTTTCCTGCGCGAGGGGAACATCCGCCCCCGCCTATGGCTCCGTCACCTGCGGTGCCGGAAGCGGACCACCAGGACGACGACGACGGCATTCCGGAAGGGACCGGGGTAGACCTGAGAGTGGCGGTACGTAGGCTCAAGGCCAGGAATACCGCCCCAGGACCCGATGGCTTGCCTGGCAAAGCCTGGGTCCTGGCCTCGGAGGCTCTCGGGCCCCGACTGGAGAGGCTCCTAAGCGCATGCTTGGAGAGAGGCCAATTCCCGCTTCGTTGGAAGACGGGGAAGCTGGTCCTCATTCGGAAGCCGGGGCGCCCTGCGGACTCTCCGTCCGCATACCGGTCCGTGGTGCTGCTCGACGAGGTGGGCAAGCTCTTTGAAAGAGTCATTGCAAACCGCCTCGCCGAGCACCTTGCGGGGACGGGGCCGGATCTTGCGGAACACCAGTTTGGTTTCCGCAAGAGGCGCTCTACGGTGGACGCCATCATGCGCGTGAGAGCCCTCACGACGGGGAATGCAGTGGCCAGGGGGGGGGGTTGTTTTAGCGGTGTCTCTCGACATCGCCAACGCCTTCAACTCCATGCCCTGGAGCTGCATTAGGGAGGCACTCCGGTATCACCGGGTGCCGACCTATCTCCGTCGTATAGTCGGGGACTATCTGACGGATAGGGCCGTCATCTACCCTGGTCGCAACGGTGAGTGGAACCGGCGAGAGGTGGAGTGCGGTGTCCCACAGGGTTCGGTTCTGGGGCCGCCCCTGTGGAACATCGGTTACGAATGCGTGCTGCGCGCCGACCTCCCTACCGGCGTCAGCGTAGTTTGCTACGCTGACGACACGCTGGTACTGGCACAGGGGGGGTCGTACGAGGCGGCGGCGGAAACTATGACACGCGGGGTTGCGATAGTCGTTGAGAGGATCCGGCAGCTGGGTCTTGAGGTGGCTCTGCACAAGTCCGAGGCCATGCACTTCCATGGTCCTCGGAACAGGCCACCACCGGGATCCTCAGCGATGGTAGGAGGGGTATCCATCGGCGTCGAGTCAACGTTGAAGTACCTAGGACTCGTCCTCGACGGCCGATGGAACTTCGTTGAGCACTTCCGATGTTTGGCTCCCAAACTGGAACGGACCGGGGCTGCCTTCATGCGGCTTCTGCCGAACCTGGGGGGGCCAAACGCCTCCTGCCGGAGGCTCTATATTGTGCGGTCCATGGCCCTCTACGGGGCCCCGGTGTGGGCGCGTGGTTTGGCGCGGCTTGCCGTCCACCACCTGAACGCGCCCCAAAAGGTGGTTGCCGTGAGAATGGTTCGCGGCTACCGCACGATCTCCCGCGAGGCAGCGTGCCTCCTTGCCGGATTGCCGCCGTGGGATCTGGAGGCGATAGTCCTCGCGCGCCTGCACGAATGGCGCGCGGAGGCACTATGCCGGGGGGAAACCCCGCTGCCGCGGCAAGTTGTCGTGCAGCGGACAGACTTCCGGCATGATCTCATGGCGACATGGAGAGAGCGACTGTCGCAACCCCGTGCTGGGCACGCCACTATAGCGGCGATAAGACCCCTCTTTGAGGAGTGGCTTGAGAGACGCCACGGCGTCCTCACCTTCCGCCTGACGCAGGTCCTCACCGGACACGGTGTGTTCGGGAGGTTCCTGCACCGAATCGGGCGGGAGGAAACGCCCGGGTGCTCCCACTGCGAGGATTGACCGGAGGACACGGTGGAGCACACCGTGGAGGTGTGCCCTGCCTGGGCGGAGCACCGCCGTGTCCTCGTAGCGGCGATAGGCGGCGGCGACCTCTCGCGTCCGGCCCTGGTCGAAGCCATGGTCCGGAGCGAGACGGAATGGGATGCCGTCACCACCTTCTGCGAAGCAGTGATGCTAGCGAAGGAGGTGGCGAAGCGGGAGAAGGAGAGAGCATCAGCTTTCCTTCCCGGCCGCCGCGGGAGACGCCCCGGGCGTCGGGGGCTACGTCGTGGCCCCCGGCCACCGTAGGCGCGGGCCTGTGGACGGCGAGCAATGGGTAGCTCGCCGTCCGTTCGTCTAACGACGACAGGCCGTGTCGACGGCGCGTTTTGTTCCATGCGCGCCTCAAAGAGCTGTCAGCAGCGTGAAGGGGCCCAAAAGGGCCGACGCCTGCCGGGGCTGCGGGCTGTTTGAAAGAGATACCGCGGCTCCGGAACGTAAGGGCACTGAAGGAACACGGGATGGTTTTTAGTCAGTAAAAGTCTGACACTCCCTTCCGCTCCACCCAGAGCGAAAGGCGTCATTTGATGATTTTCCATCCGCAAAAAAAAAAGCTATACGTAATAGCCCTGCTTGTTGTTGATGGACTAGGCAGCATCGATCAACTGATGGTGAAAATTCTGAAGATCGGTGATGAGCAGCAGGCAAATATTCCAAGGAATGCTTGCCACCCGGCGCTGGCGAAAAGGCCGGTAGCTTAATCACAACACGTTATCGAAAATTCAGTTGATAACTTACTATAATAATATAATTCAGTTCTGAAAATATAAATAATCTGTACTCGCACAATTGTCAATTATTGATTTATTTATTTCAAAATAATAAAACTTTGGTCGTAAACCCACCTGCCTAGCGTGGCAACTATGGCAAATAAACTTGCCATCCTCTGAGGAAATAAATGAAGGAGGTCTTTATTCAGCATTGGATTTTTGAAAGGCTATAGTGGATGTATAGACGCGAAGGTAGAACACCATGTGATTTTAGTCTGTGCGAGTCCGACATTACCCGTCATTGTCTCCCAAAAGGTGGCTACGCGTAGTCATTTCCCCGTGTAGAATACCCCCCCCCCCCCTAGCTGGTTCAGTGGTACAAAATACGTATTGTGATGTTTATTGTTACAGGTCTTGGTGTGTCAGCCGTGTGTATTTTACTTGGAACATTTAATTTATACGCGAAAGAGCCAAGCATACTTCCACAGTTGTGCTATGTAGCTTTTATTACATTTGCCTGTTTAGGCTACTATGTATTACCAATTCTCATTATATTTGAATTGAGCCCTTTGCAAGTATGAACAATTATTATACTTTTATCAGTCATTCCACGTTTTTTAAACAAAATTTTCCATTGCCATTTTTTATAATAACGTGAAATTAATTAACTATTTGTATTCAATATTTTCAGATCAGAGGTCTTCTTGGAAGTATTACAATTTCCATATCAAACATTACAATATTTAGTGTCAATCAATGTTTCCGATACGTTGAAAATGCTATTGGTTTAGCCAACACAATACTAGCTTTTGGTGCATCTTCATTTTTAGGTTAGAATTTTTTAATTGACATATGCAGTAATATATATTGAATTGATTATATTCAATAATAGATTTTAATTTTATCAATATTCCTCAGGCAGTATCTACATATACTTCTTTTTGCCAGAAACAAATGATTTGACTTTACAAGAAATCGAGGAATTCTATAATGAGCGACGATCTACTCTAACATCACAACGTCGTATTGTTTCTATGCAAGCTTTATCTAAAGCCAGTAATAGTTTAGCAAGTAGATCATTAATGAAAGTGACTTAAATATTGTATCAATATATATATATATATAAAAAATGAGATTTTTTTATTACTTTCATTTGTAGGCCAACAACGAGCGGTTGTTTCTTCTGGTAACAATGTTTTTTATTTTAATTCTAAGTATATACATCGTATATATGAATCTGAATGACAAAGTGAGAAATTGTTTAATAAGAGAAGAGTGTGGTTTGCAAGATGATGTTGTGACCAGGATTAAGAAAGGAATGCTTCGGTGGTTTGGCCATGTAGAAAGAATGAATGAGGAAAGAGTGACAAAGCAAATTTATGTTGCAGAGGTGAACGGCATGGTCGGGAAGGGTCGCCCTAGGCGAAAGTTTATCGACCAAATTGGCGATATATTAAAAATGGGCCAAATCAAGAGTACCTTTAACCGACGAGCGTGTATGCGTAGGTATATGGATGTGGAGGAAGCGAGAGAGGTGTGTCAGGATCGTGCCAAATGGAAGTCCATAATCTATGCCTACCCCTCTGGGTGACAGGCGTGAGTGTTTATGTTATTATATACTCACAGTCACAATCTGCCAAACTGTGACAATTTGTCGGCAACAGCTCTCGTGCATACAATATTTATCTTGGACAAATTAGTCAATAGCAAATGCAACACAATTTAAGTTACAAATCCTTAAGAACAAAAAGTAAAAATAAAAAAAATAATTTAACTTAAAATATAAAATAAAAGTCGTTAACGGACTCCGATTATGAAAATAAAGACGGTTAATGTTTTTTTCAAGTACTCTTCAAGTTATTTTTACTTTTAGTATTTTTATCAGATTTCGCAGTGACTCATTCACAATTCAATACAGGCCAAAGTCTGTCTGAATCTATTCTCTTTTACATTTTCCCTAATAATTTTAAATGCGAATTTTTCGTTTGCATTATATTAATATTCAGGTACGAACTACTAATATAAAGCGAATGACTCGTAACGACATAAACTAATTGTTGCTATGTACCTATTTCTTAGAAAGATTCGCGGGCACAGATAGAACAAACCTTATTGAAGACGAACAAACAAAGAAACAAATATTATTTTTTTATAAGAACGCGTCCTCAAGAACTTAAAGTTTCATCGTAATGGGATGAACTGCACGTGAATGAATCGAAGAGAAACAATAATAAATCTTAATTTTTTATATACGGCAGGCGACGCAAAAATTTTTGCGAAAACGCCTTTTTTGTATGAGACACTGGGACACGGCCTGTTATAATCTATTTTGAAATTACGATTATTTACTTGATGATTAACTAAATGGAAATATCGTGTTTAATATATTTCTTGATAATGTATAATTTAAAAATGGATCTGCGTTGGGAATATTTTCGCACCATGATTTTTACGAATTTATATATCGCCTAAAACCGGGCAATTTGTTTGATAGACTTTAAATGGCATTTATGAATAAAGGCAACCTAGCATCTTTCGCTAGTATAACACATTTTAGCACGGTCAAGTAACTTTGAGAGATGAAGGAAGACGTATTCGCCCTTCGACGGCTGTTACGTTAGGAAACGTGTTATAAATTTAATTGAAGAGAATAAACGAATTACATATTATGATATTCAGCATATACTCGTATTGCAGATTATATTGGAAAGCGTTCACAAGATTTTACACGTTTATGACAGTTACGAGTATCCAGAAACGAAGAAATAAGAATCTGTCCACGCTTTAACTGTTTCAAAATGTACTACCTAATGTACCACCCAAAGTTAAGCGATCGAGAATTGCAGGAAAAATTTTGATTGCTAAGTTTTTTACTTTGACGGGTTATTTTGTGTCCTTCCTCCAATTCTTTTACAAAATGGAATAAATAGTCTAAGAGCTGGCGACGAATTTTGGGAAGGTCCTCTGGGCAGGTTGAAATTGTGAAAAAATATAATTTCGTCAATTGGTGAATCCAGTCCCGAGAGCCTGGCAGATCGTTTGCAGTTATTTCGTTACTGCGCAGCATATAATATTTGCGAACAAAAATAAAAAATAAATGTTTTTGTGGCAACTTGATTTCTTTTTTATCTTTTAATTTAGTTTTTATATCATTCCAAAAAATAATCCCAGACGTTTTTGTCGGTTATATAGTATTACCAGACCTCTCCAAAAATATTTTTTTTAAATTCCCAAAGAATATACTTTTGGCAACCTCAAATTTTAATCACGTATTTATTGAGTAATTTTTAATAATCCCTGCAAATCGCAAGACGAATTTAGCGGTTTTAAACAACTCCCAGACGTGAATAAAGTTTACAAATGAATACGACAAAAAAATCTATGCGTAGCCATAAGTACGTGTAAGATAGCTTATCGAAGCATGTCGACAGCGGATAAGCTCCTTGCACTGTGATTGGTTATTAAGAAATATTTTAAAAATTTTGAGACTAAATTCTTGTTTTGGGATTTAGCATGTATCTATGCGCATATATGATCATATAATATTTGTGTATAAAGTTTGAATTATTTTAGATCAGTGCTGTAATAATTTGTATAATAGCTATTACTTTTAACCTCGTATTAATAGTAAACTTGACAATATATGTCTTGATAATTACCACCCAACGATCATAAAAAAGGACAATATATATGAAGTGCTTACCGCCCAGAGATGAAGGTGGAAAAAATAACAAGTTGCACGTTCTTTACAGCCGTAATTTTTTTCACTGTAATGTGGTACAAATATAGATGACTTTTGAACTACCTAAATGTAGTTTTATTATGTTCTTTTTGTAGGACATCGGGTACATGCATAAGTAGATATTTTTAAACTGTGTTTTAAATATTACACTAGGCCGATAGCCATGAAATAATTTAAATGAAAGATGTTAGACACATAGTTTTATTGTTATCAATTACAAAGTAAATACTAAACAAAATCACATTACTCTTATCATCGAATAGTGTAAAAAACTAAAACGGGATAATTGACTTTCAAATTGAACTGAATCCTTGTAAATTATAATATTTGAGTAAAACGACTCCATCCCGTAAAATCTGGAACCAGACAGTGAACTTTCAGAGAGCAGTGAAGAAGAGGAGGAAAATTAATAAAATGATAAATCTCTTTAAATTTCCTTTAATATTATAATTTAAACAAAATTATAAAAATTGGAAATAAAACGAATTATTGAATGATTTAATCCGTCAACCTAAAAATTATGGTTCCTGTCATGGTATAAGAATAATTATTGACCATGGCCTAGTTTCTGATTTTATCAATTTTAATAGTAATTAATAAGAAATGATTGACTTGAATCCTACTAATATTATAAACGTGAAAGTTTGTGAGGATGTATGGATGTTTGTTATCTTCCACGCAAAAACTACCGAATATATTTTAAAGAAACTGAACAATAATGTAGCTCATACATAACTATACTTATGTAGTTCAAAGGTCATCTATATCTGTACCACATCACTGTGAAAAATTTACGACTGTAGAGAACATGCAACTTGTTATTTTTTTCCACTTTCAACTCTGGTCGGTAAGCACTTTATACATATAGTCCTTTTTTAAGATCATGGGTTAGTAATTATCAAGTTATATATTGCCATGTTTATTATTAATACGAGGTTAAAAGTAATATCTATTATACGAATTATTACAGTACTGATCTAAAAAAATTCAAACTATATACACAGATATTTACATGGTTATATGTCCGCATACATACATGCTAAATCCCAAAACAAGAATTTAATCTTAAAATCTTTAAAAAATTTATTTCTTAATAATATTATATAATCACAGCGCAAGGAGCTTACCATCCGTTGTCGGCATGTTTCGATAAGCTATCTTTCTTGCACTTATGGCTACGCATAAGACTTTTTGTCGTATTCATTTGTAAACTTTATTCACGCCTGGGAGTTGTTTAAAACCACTAAATTCGTCTGGCGATTAGCAGGCATTATTATAAAATACTCAAAAAATACGTGATTAGAATTCAAGATTGCCAAAAGTATATACTTTGGTAAGTATAAAATTTTTTTTGGAGAGTTCTGGTAATACTTTATAACCGAAAAAAACCTTTTTTTTGAATTATATAAAAACCAAATTAAAAGACAAAAAAGAAATTAAGTTGACACAAAAAAATTTTTTTTTTCAATTTTTATATGCTGCACAGTAACGAAATAACCGCAAACGTTCTGCCAGACTCGCGGGACTGGATTAGCCAATTAACGAAATCATATTTTTTCACAATTTCATCTTTTTTTCCTTTTTTTATAGGATAAGGGTGACAAACGAGCACACAGTCCACCTGATGGTAAGTGGTTGCTGCGGCCCATAGACATCTACATCTATCCTCTGTTTCAAATCAAAATGTAGATGCGTTGTCACCCGTGAGGACTAAGATGGAATGCCTCATTTCCAGTAAAAAGGGCCTCCGGCCACCTGCACTCACCAAGCGAAACGCAGAGGTAAACCTCTACTTCACGCTGGTTTTCTGTGAGGTCGTGGTACCACCCCGGTTCGAGCCGGCCCATCCGTGCGACAGCAAAAGCTGCCGCGTGACTCTACCACTGTTAAAAAGGTAAATCTGGCCCAAAAGACCTTCCCAAAATTCGTCTTCAGCTCTCAGACTGAAACATGACTGTCGAATGGTATACTATCAATTGCTTGCCAGTAAAGTTCACTGATGTAAGCAACAAGCGACCGAATATGGGGCTCCCCGTGCATCATCATGACAACACGCAAGCGTACTCAGCGGGACAAAAAAAGGGACTTCCTAGACAGCACACCGGTTAGGCTTTTGAGCCACCCTTCTTTGGCACCGTGTGACTACTTTTTATTTCCTTTAATAAAAAAAATCAACGGAAATGGAAGCAGTTTTCATCGCCATATCGTAGCAGCGGTTCGTATAGGTCGTAGATCTGAAGCGGACTGAAAAAAGTGTTAAAAGATCTGAATGAATAGATAAATTAATAATTTTATTTGCAAAGTGTAGGATTGGATTAGATATCAAAATACAATATTGCTTTACTCATTTACTAATAATATAGGTATGTATATAGACTTTAGACTTTCACCAATTTTATATTTGTAACACTTTTGCCAAATGAAAAGAAGGTAGGGGAGGGGGATTTATCGTTTTATCTCTAGCGGCTCCGGGCGGTAACAAACAAAGCTACGCGTCTGCTATCGCTTGCAATACTTTTTCCATTACATCAATGCCTTTCTTGAATTCGTCTATGTGAAGTCTCTCATTATGAGCGTGAAGTAATAGAGGTGTGTTGAGGATAGGTGTGAATCCGATAGCGGGGATACCTTGGCGACGAATGTAACGCGCGTCAGTTGTCCCTGGACAAATAAAGCAGTTGATATCCAAGCCCCTGAAAATAAATTTAATTATAAAATATGGTAAAAACCTTACAGTGTCACATATTTTCAGAGAAATTAGAATGAGTTTTTATGAATCAGTTAACTTAAATTTTATAATTGATCATTATTTTATTGTTAACTATTACTAAAAGGTCCTTAATTTTTTTTAATATAAATGTGACAAAGGAGCTCATAGTCCTGATAATAAGTTTATACCACCATAGATACCTACATCTATCCCCCAATAGCTAAAATGGGACGCTTCGTTACCAGCTAGGTATCAGTTACCAGCAGATCTAATTTCGGTCACGCCGGCCAGACTCAATGGAGACAAGCCATCTGCGCAGGACAGGTTTATGGTGGTGTATGTACAAGCAAACGTGCAACCTCTCTTGCCTCAGTTTCATAGTCCGATGGGACGGTAATTCGACACGACCGGAGAGAAAAGAGCCTACTCCTTTTTAAAAGGCCGGCAACGCATCTGCAACTCCCCTGGTGTTGCTGTTGTTCATGGGCGGCGGTAGTCACTTATCATCAGGTGAGCCGCATGCTCGTTTGCCCCCTCTCCTATAAAAAAAACAGAGAGATCAGGTGAAGGACCAACAGCTTTACATGCTTTCCCAGACATGAGGGTGAATACCGCCAACTCCATGACTCCGGGCTGTTACTGGGAATTTCTTGACAGAAAAAGTCAAGAACTAATTTTGACCCCACCTGGGATTGGAAACCAGGATCTTAAGGTCAGCATTTACGCAAGAGCAACATGTAATTATTACCAGCTCTATTGTTCGTTATATAATTAAATTTTAGATGCTTATGTTGTCATCGCAACAATATTGTTCCAATAAGTATAAAAATTTATAAAAATTATAATAGCAGTGGAACCAGTTTAACCGACATAGACTAAAGGACTAGTAAGCTGAAGTGGCAATGGGCCGGCTATATAGCTCTAAGAACCGACAACCGATAGGAGAGAAAGGTTCTCGAGTGGCGGCCTCGTACCGGCAGACGAAGTGTAGGGCGTCCTCCAACTAAATGGAGTGACGACCTGGTAAGACATGCAGGAAGTCAATGGATTCAAGTGGCTCGAGACCTATGTTCAGCAGTGGACTTGTGATGGGCTGTAATGATGATGACGATGATGAAGTATCAAAATTCGCCCAATGTACGACACTCACGAAAGATGTAGGTAGTGATGGGTTCCCTTACACTCCCACATTAAAACTTTTAAAGTGTTGTAATATAACTATCAGCGACACACCTTTTGATATTCTCCGTCATAATCATCATCACAGCTTTTTTCTACTGGACTGGAAACTGAATACATGCGCATTCTTGATGCGCAAGTACTCAACGATTACTCAGAAAATTTGCGGTGTGTGTACCACATTGGCCAAGCGGTTTTTGTAATCTATTACCAGTTAGTGATATTGGGGTTTAATGTGTGATGAATTTTTCTTTTACTATTCTAATGGACGGAGCCTCGTCCATCAATTAACAGGGTGAACAGCGTGCAGTTGAGAGGCTTTTTTAAATTAAGTGACATGTAAATTAACAGTCTAGCTGATGGTAAGTGGATCCTGCTGTCCATGGACACGTGCAACCACTTTTAACAAAGAAGACGCTACAGATGCGGTGTCCCCACTGAAGAGTAAGATGGAATGCCTCACAGTCTGCAATTACCAGTATATTGGTTCTCTATTCCCCCATACCAGAACACAGGAGTGTGAGGCATAGATAGTTACGAAGGAGGCACCTACCCAGACATCCAGAGAAACAAGGATTCCTACTATGTAGTACATAAATTTTAGTCGCAAGAATAACTCAAAATTTACGTGATTCATCTCATCGGAAACCTACACTCGCTAAATGTTAAAACAATTAAAATTACTTGTACCAAATTAAATTTGAAAGTTTTATATCTTTGAACTACATACTTACATATCTAATATAGTTTTATAGAGAACATTCCAGAAGGGCTCACTACCGTCGATTTTCGTCGTCTTTTCTTCTGGATTCCTCTCATAATATTCCATTGTCACCTTATCACCAGCATCTTTGCACCAGCCTTGAATCTATAAAGAAAGTCAAGTGTCAAGTTAATGTTATCCTAAATCTAAATAATTATATGATTATAGTTTTTTATAAATATTATTACTTTATTTGGTATAATTTGCTGATTCTCACCATAGTTTCAAATGCTTCATGATCTTCGTCAGGCGATATTCTGATGTCGAAAGATGCCGATAACTGTTCAGGTAGCACGTTAACTTGTATCCCTCCCTGTGTACAAGTATAGGATTATTATAAAATATAATAGGAAATATATCAGAATGTAAATCTAATTTATTAATATTATTACGACGAAAAACGGTAAATTTTATCAGTCTATCTGACTTGGAACACACTTATTACTTACATTTCGAAATATTGACAATAGTATGTGAACGTATCGCGTAGATAATTATTTTTATAGAATAGTGTGACAAACGAGCACACAGTCCACCTGATGGTAAGTGGTTGCTGTGACCCATGGATATCTACATCTATCCTCAATAGAAATAAAAATACAGATGCGTTGTCATCCGTGAGGACTAAGGTGGAATGCCTCTTTTCCAGTAAAAAGGGTCTCCGGTTCTCTACACACACCATATGAAAAACAGCAGTGTTAAGCTAATGAGTTGAATATCTTGTCGATTATTTAGTTGAATATTTTGAATAACGTTATTTCATAATTTAAATTTTTCTGACGAAATACGATAAGTAGTTTAGTGGAAGTTATTTTAAAAATTTTTAGATTATCTTTCAATTGTTTCCACTATACGTTCGTTATAATTACCGTACCTAATAGAAATAAGTTTTTCAATGGGAATCTTTGATTTCATATTGAAATATCCCAATTTAATTATTCTTCGTAATTTACGTTTAGATAAAATTTTATAATATTTACTTAATCTAACATTTCTTAAAACTTTGTTTACTGCTGAAATGCATACCTCCACTTTAGTTAAGTTTATGGTAGTAACTGCGCCCAGCTGTGCGCCATTATCTAACTTTTTTCTTTCTTCCTTTCGAAATTCCATAAACTTGTTAATTATATAACTGAGCTGTAAAATACCATATCGTTTGTTTAATTTAAATTTCTATCGAACTCAAAGAAAAATTTATAAATTTTACTAAAATGAGTGGTGTTATAATACACTTACAATGGAGCACACAGACCAATGTAGCTGTATCCTATAGATATTTTTTTATAGGAGAGGGGGCAAACGAGCATGCGCCTCAACTGATGGTAAGTGACTACCGCCGCCCATGAACAACTGCAACAGCAGGGGAATCGCAGATGCGTTGCCGGCCTTTTAAAAAGGAGTAGGCTCTTTTCTTGAAGGTCCCTAAGTCGTATCGGTCCGGAAAAATCGCTGGTGGTAATCGATTCCACAAGGAAGTTGTGCGAGGAAGAAAACTTCTTCTAAATCGCACAGTGGTGGACCACCAATCATCCAGATGGTATGGATGGTAACGCGAGTTTTGTCGCGATGAGCGATGGTGAAATTGGGCGGCTGGAATTAGTCCGAACAATTCCTCAGAGCACTCCCCGTGATAGAAGCGATAAAATACGCAAAGAGATGCAACATCTCTACGCAGTGCCAATGAGTTAAGCCGATCGGAAAGAACTCGGTCGTCGACGATTCGAACCGCTCTGCACTGGATGCGGTCAAGTGGAAGGAGCTGGCACTGGGGAGCCCCTGCCCAGAGATGGGAACAGTATTCCATGTGAGGCCGAACCTGCGCCTTATAAAGTTGCAAGCGGTGTGCCGGCATGAAATACTGTCCCGCTCTGCTGAGCACGCCAAGCTTTTTAGAGGTCAATTTAGCCTTCTCTTCCAAGTGACCACGAAACTGCACGTCACTCGATATGTAGACACCAAGGATCCCGATACTGGCTGAGGCAACAAGGGGAGTGCCTTGAAACTGAGGAGATACGACAAAGGGGTTCTTTTTAGCGATAAACGCGCAAACTTGTGTCTTCTGGGGATTGAACTGGACTAGATTTAGTCGACCCCATTCTGAGACATTACTCAACAAAGTCTCGACTTCAGACACAAGTTTTTTCCGGTACTAGGCGACGTTTTCCCGAGAAACATTGGCACGGACGGTGTATAAAGCATCACCAGTGCTATCGTCTGCATAGCGATGAATATTACCAGTTTGTAACATATCATTGATATGCAGGAGAAACAGCGTTGGTGATAGCACGCAGCCTTGTGGAACACCAGCGTTGATAGGCTTGAGGTCAGAGCATACACCGTCTACTACGACCTTGATGCTCCGATCAGCAAGGAAACTGGTGATCCATTTGCACAATTTCTCGGGAAGCCCATAGGAAGGAAGCTTCGAAAGGAGCGCTTTGTGCCAAACCCGATCGAAGGCCTTCGCTATCTCCAAACTAACGGCCAACGCCTCCCCCTTGGACTCCACTGCCTCCGCCCATCTATGAGTTAGGTAACCTAAAAGATCACCAGCTGAGCGACCTCGACGGAGACCTGATATCCGTCCGGATGAGAGGTCAGCAGAAGATCCAACAGGGAAGGTACATGATCCTCCACATCTGGGATCCGCGTAGGCGAAATAACCAGTTGTGTCAGACCATATGCCAAGGCAAAGTCATAAACAGATCTCCCCGCACGATCGGTTAAGCGTGAACCGAGCCATTCGGCGTGGTGGGCGTTAAAATCGCCAAGAATCACGATCTCTGCAGATGGGACCTGTTGTAGCACGGAGTCTGCAGCCATTTGGACGTGGTCGATGAGTCGGTCTGTGTCGGCATTTCCGCTATGGGACCTATAGAGGCACCCGTAGACGCGGGGATGGTTGATTTGGGGGGGGGGGGGGATTGGGAAATGCACTCACCAAGCGGAACGCAGAGGTAAACCTCTACTCCACGCTGGTATTCTGTGAGGTCGTGGTACCACCCCGGTTCGAGCCGGCCCATCCGTGCGACAGCAGAAGCAGCCGCGTGGCTCTACCACTGTTAAAAAGATTAAGAAGATGCAGAAGTGTTGTCACCCTGATGACTGAGATGGAAAGTAGCTCCGGTTTTCTTTACTCATCATACGAAACAGCAGCATTTTGCTACTATTTCACGCTGGTGCTATGTGCGAGCGTGGTCCTTCCCCGTGTGATTTAATCCATTCATGCTGGAGACATGACACGTTGTAACGTGGCTCTACCACATAAATATTTAAATTTATTTATATTATAGAACATCCTTTATTGACTCGTAATCGCTTCTATATAATATTTTTTAATGACAGAGGAACCAGTACCTACGTGTGGCATCCAGCAAATTAAAGATAGTCTTCAGGCGATCGAAAAATAACGAAAATCAAAACTCATGAAAAAAAGCTCCACATACTATAATTGTTGATGCTCACTGTTTAACAGTTCAACACATTCTCAAAAGAGATGGTATGTTCTTTTTTTTAAAGAATAAGAGTGATAAACGAGCACACTGCCCACCTGATGGTAAATGGATTCTGTGGCCCATAGACACCTACATCTAGCCTCAGTTAAGAATTAAAATGCAAAAGCGTTGCCATTACTGAGGACTAAGATAGAATGCCTCGTTTCCAGTAAAAAGTGTCTCCGTTTCTCTACACTCACCATACGAAACACAGTAGTGTTAAGCTGCTATTTTACGGTGGTATTCTATGAGAGCGTGGTTCTTACCCGGTCGAGCCATTCGTGCTACAACTACAATATAGCTGCAGAGCGGCTCTACCATGTATGAAATATGTTATATGTTCCCGTATGTGCTGACTTATTTACCATCGAAAACTATGTGTAGTCAGAGTCTGGTTCAGCTACTACATATCATTGAATATATCAGTTTACTGAAATTGATTTGTCTCTCAATTCACAGCATAGTAAACATATTTGTAATAATTTATAATAATTTACTTTTTCTCCAGCAGTATCGTTGCTAATAAAAGCAGCGTGGCCAGGCTCACCCTTGCACGTAATTTTGAGTTCTAGAAAAAAAAATATTTTATTGATTCTACGGGTCTTTTGATTCATTTCATTTATTCCTTTTTTACAAACTAACTAACGTTTTTTTTAAAGTACAACTACTGCCAAATCGTGTGTTTGCTATAAACTATTTGAATAACATAAGAAACATGTATTTGTATGGTCTAGAAATAATGATTCAATAATGATTGTTGAGAACAAATAAAAATACCCTGAGAACTAAGATGAAATTTTCTCATTTCTAATAGAAAACTTAATTAGCATAAGTGAAAGAACCTACAACAACTACCAGTGTCTTCTAATGAAGGCTAATATTGTTCCACTCACTAGATGTCGCTACTTGACACTGAGGGAAAGTATTTTTGTTACACAGTGTTATTTATTTGAGTAGTAAGTTTTAAATGAAAGTTTATCAGTTTCTAGAGTATTATATTAATACACAAAACAATGCCTCAGTGGTTTGCTCTTTAATTTTTTGCACATATTTAACATTTTTTTTAATATTTCTATTGTTATGAATCTGTGGTTTGGTTTATTTATTTTTAATCATATTAATATGAAATATAGCTAAAAGTACAGAAAGAAACATTAACCTTAACATTTTCCGAACTAATTAATTTCCCTGCTATGAAATCTGTCAAATATTATGCCTCAATTTTAAGTGGCGCCGCCCTGGTGGCAGAAAAAGTCGTGGATGCCCGCGTTGTTAAGTCGTTTGCAGTGATTTATGAGTTTATCACACTCTACTTCCTAACATAAGTGCCGAAACATTATAAATGTGACTATGATCAATTTAACTTTTTAGTTACCCTATAAATGAAACATATAAATAAATTTGAAGTGTCTATCTGTAATTTCGAAATATTTATGGAGCTCATAGATTATAGGCATGGCATCAAGACGCATTTTTTTTCTTTACGTCTCTCTGTCTTTCCGGGCTAACCTCATTTAAATCTAAGTTTAATCGGAACGGCTTAACCAATTATGATGAAACTTCACGAACAGAGAAATGCTAGGAATGATTATTTTTCTTTAAATTTTTTGTGAAATGGAAAAATTGATAACATCATTTTCATTGGTGATTACTGTAAAAGATCTAAATAATGCCAAATTAACAGAAACCAGGCCGTAAAGCCGTGCTGGATCTCTATTGTAATGATTAAAATAAAATATCGATGACTTACGCCTTGCAGTGCGTTCTCCATTAAAACTCACAAAAGTTTTTGGGCTTTCACTGGGAACGCTTTCATCGAATTCGAATCCAATATTGAGCTTGCGAAACTCCTCCGATTCAGAAAACTTTCGCATGCCTTCAACGCCACCGATTTCTTCATCTGTTGATACACAATGAGAAACAGTAGATGCTTTAAATTAAAAATCAATAATTGCTTGTATTGCAAAATTAATGTTGAATATTTCATGCATTTTGAAATTTCCTTCTGAACTACATTAAACTTTGACAATTAGTTGCTATATAGATATATTTGTTTCATTCCTTTATTACAGCCCACCAAAAGTCCACTGCTGGACATAGGCTCCCCCATAGATTACCTCATAGATGTGATGTTGGCCATAGTTGGCAAACTGGGCAAGCGGGTTGGTAAACGCAGTTTTTATTATTATTTTTGAGTTGTTCCTGTTTCAGTTTCCCTCTGTCAACAGTTACGACACCCATGGTATGACAAAGATTAGTGTTTTCCTTTACGCCGCTACTACATGTCTATATGTTTGTTAACTTGTATTGAACACTTAAGTTTTAGTCACATATATTTATAACAAAATAACTAACTTAAATGTTTTTTATTGCTCGCATCCTAGCGAAAGCGGCAGTGCGTGACACGTATGCTCGCACTCATCTTTCATTCTTTAACAGCAAGTCCACTGCTGCACGCACAGTTTCTACACCTAAAACCATGTTGTTGGTTGCAAATGATTTTAGATAAAGTTCAGCATGCTTTGACTTAGTTTCTGTGTCATTTGAAATGTACGCGGATTTTGAGTTGGTCTGAGTTTAGGGTTATGTAAAGACAGTTTAAAAAACAGTTTTGTGAAAAAGCTAGCAAAACCAATGACACGTAATTTAGTATTTTACCTGGAACAAAACTTATATGAACGGTCCTCTTAAGCTTAATGCCAGCTTGCTTAAGTCGTCTAACAGCCTCCAAATGTATCATTCCCACGCTCTTCATATCTTGCGAGCCTCGGGCGTAAATCCAACCGTCTTCTGTTATGTGGGCATCAAATGGTGGATATTTCCAATGATCCTAATTAATGGATATTAGATTTTAATTTTGTTATCATCATTGTAGGCTGCCATAAACAAACATACATAACATAAACACTCACGCCTGTCACCCAGAGGGGTAGGCAGGCAGAGACTACGAACTTCCATTTGACACAATCCTGACACACCTATCTCACCTCCTCATACGCATACATGCTCGTCAGTTAAGGTCACTGTTAATTTATCCAATTTTCTATATATAGCCAATTTGGTCGATAAAATTTCGTCTAAAGCGTTCCTTCCTGACTCTTCCGTTCACCTCTGCAACATAAATTTGTTTTCTCACTCTTTCCTCATTCATTATTTCTACATGAAAAAGCCACCGAAGCATCCTTTCTGAACCCTGGTCACAACATCATCTTACAAACCACACTCTTCTCTTATCACAGAATTTCTCACCCTGTCATTCAGATCCAGCCGTAACATACTCTCGTGCTTCTTTTGTCACACCCAACTTTCACTACCATACATTAAAGTAGGGACTAACACAGCATAGTGAATTACCATACGTGCCTTTTTGATACATTAAGACTTTCCACAATAGAGTGTTGAGCACCATTTACTCTATATCCTGCGTTCACTCGTCATTCTATATTCTTATCATATCTACCATCCCTGCTAAATATACATCCCAAATACACAAACTCATCTACTTGCTCGACCAACTAACTCCCCTTCTATTCTTATTGAATATACCGTTTTACTTTTTTCTCTTTCACAAACCATAACTTTCGTCTTACTTGCGTTCACTTTCATTCCCCTTTCTTTTAATGACCTGTTCATTAATGTAACCATCTTTTGCAACTTGGTTGCCAACGATGCAAATATGACTTCATCATCGGCGTACAAAAGGCATTTGACGGTTAACTCAAGTCTTTTTTACCAGCATTCTTTAACTTTTAAATTTGCTAAACAACTGTCCATAAATAGGTTGAACAGCTAAAGAGAAGCCACACAGCCCTGTATGATACCTTTATGGATGTCAAAACATTCCGAGTAAGCCCCGTTGATTCTGACACAACCACTAGACCCTATAAAGAGACTTAATGCCTGTATCAACCCAGCGCTCAACCCAAATGAGTTCAGTATTTAACACTTTACTGTTCACTCTGTCATAAGCCTTTTGCAAGTCCACGAACGCATAAAAAAGCTTTTTGGTTTTTGGCCAACAACTTCTCCGCGATCATACGCATGGATAAGAGTTGACCCGTACACCCCATTCCCATTCTAAATCCCGCTTGCACATCCCAAATTTTTGCATCAGCTTCTTTCATAACTCTTTCAATTAGTAGTATACAGATTTCCCACAATGCTAAGAAGGTTGATACTACGGTAGTTTTTACAGTCCTGCTGCGACCTTTTTCCTTTATATATTGGCACTATCACGGCGTTGCACATCTCCCGGTACCCGCTTAATTTCCCAACATAAATTAAACAATCCCTGCTTTAATGCTTTTTATTGATTTCATTATTTCATCTATACTTATCTCTTTTCTTTTCTTTCGGAATTTCTGCTTCATTTAATTCAAACGTCTCCTCACTCATAAGCACGCTTTCAAAGGATTCCTTCTATCTCTTTAAACTAGAAACTTCGTCATTCAGAATACAGCCATTCTGGTCTCATGTAGCGTTTATTCTAGGTTGTTGAATGTCTCATAAAATGAATGTCTCCTGGCAGTTCTTACGAGTTTCCAGAACATTTTAATATTTGCCTGGAAATTGTCTGATATTCTTCTATCATTCTTATCCGTCCTTTCTTGCTTTTTTCTTGCAATTACTTCTTTTACTCTCTTATTTAGACGACTAAAGACTGCCATTTTCTTTCAATATTCATTCATTCCGCAAGAATTACCAGCCTTGATTGCTAGTAAATATAGCTATGCTCTCTTCTTTGCTTCAACTTCGATCCGCACCTCATCATTCCAATATAACGTGTTATTTTTCCTTTCATTCGTTCTCTTGCTTGCACAACATACTTCGGTAGCTGCATCCGCCAAACCTTTCTTAACATGATACCACATAATATCCAAGTCTAAATTATTCATACAAAATTCATCCAAACACTCTCAAGTCTCAGTCTACATTTGATCTTCTCTTTCATACCTTCATCTTGTAATTGAGTGGTTCTACGGGCTGCAACGCACTTGTAGCGAGTTTTTGTTTATTTATTAGTTTTTATATTTTTTTATAAGTTTGTTAAAAATCGCCCAGCGTATTTACTACATCAGTATTAGTAACAATTTCTACCTACAGTCAACCAAATTTAAGAAATACTTTTTGATGTGTCACATTTATCATTTCGCAATAACTTTGTACAAGCGTACCCACACGATTTAAAATAACCTTTTACGCAAATCCAAATAATTATGAAGTTATCTGTATTTCATTACAAGTATTACTACTAATTTAATTTTGAACCTTTCAAACAAAGCTAAATATTATAAAATTTACGTTATTTCAATGATATATCGTTATCTACTTTAAAAGTATTCAAATAATAAAAATAATAGAGTGTGTTGAATAAAAAACTGACAGTAGTTTTACTTCATGAAACACAATTTTATACTCGCTTTGAGCTTTGAAGACTTTGTATGTTGAAGATTCTTGATCATTTTGGAATTTAATATTAAAGTTATTTTACAGCACTTTATATCTCCCGCTTCAGTGCACAGGGCAAAAGGCTAGGTCTTTTTGGAACGGGTGGAAAACCATAACAGAGTCTTTTATTTATAAAATAAACACAAAGTCCACCTGATGGTAAGTGGATGCTGTGGCCCATATACATCTACATTTATCCTCAATTAAGAATGAAAATGCAGATGTGTTGTCACTTCTGAGGACTAAGACGGAATGCGTCGCTCCCAGTCAAAAGTTCATTGTACGCTGGTATTCTGGGATAGCTGTGAAGCATTGGCACTTTAATAGTAAAAAAATAATGATTTTTACCATTAAAATGCCAGTGCTTAATGTAATAAATAAAATTTCAGAGAGGTCGACGTTGAGTGTCGGACTTGGGTTGTTCGCTGATTATTAAATTTAACATGAGGGCCAATAAGACTAGCACTAATGTGATTAAAATTTAATTAAATTTAAATAAAAAGTAAAGCCGACTTCAAAAAACGCCAAAAAAAAGAAAATTGTTTTGTAGTGTGGTTTACCTTTTTATTAAAAAATTGCTTTTACCTTTTTGAGTGGAATTATGAATATCACAATTTTAGTGTCGTCTAAAAATTTACACACATTAGAATCTTCATCCTCTATTTTAATACTCTACAAAAGTATTGCTGCATACAAAAAAGTAAACATGCAGTGGAATGAGGGTAATAATTTTCTGCTCACCAGATGTCGCTAGTTGACAGTGAGGTAATTTTTTGTTACACAGTGTAATTTAATTGAGAAGTTAGTTTTTAATAAAAGTTTATCAGTTTCTAGAGCATTATACTAATACACAAAACAAGGCATCAGTGGTTTGCTCTTTAATTTCTTGCACTTTTTTAACTTTTTTAAAATTTTTCTACTTTTATAAATATCTGTAGTTTGGTTTATTTATTTTTCATCTTATTAATATAAAATATAGCTAATAGTACAGAAAGAAACAATAACTTTTACATTTTCCGAACAAATTAACTTCCTCGCTATGAAATCTGTCAAATATTATACTTCACTTTCTAGTGGCGCTGCCCTGGTGGCAGAAAAATTCGTAGATGCTCTCATTGTAAACTATTTTTTTGATCTCGGCTAAAAATATGAACATCACGTTGCATTAATAATAGAACAACAATATATACCTACTTCGTAAACCGGTACCACGTCCATATGAGAATTCAACAAAATCGAGGGCATTTCAGGCTGCGTTCCCTCCCATGTAATTACCACTACTGGCTTCTTTTCCACTAGCTCATAAACGGCAAAAGTTAGCTTCAAAAGATCTGCCTGTTTTTTCAAAAACTTGACACAGTCATCTAAAGTAAAAAATTAAAACAATTGGAATCAGTATACCTTGTCAAATAAGATGATCATTATCATACAATTTTTTTACAATTGTTTACAAACGAGCACACAGTCCACCTCATGGTAAGTGGATGCTGTGGCCTATAGACATTAACATCTTTCGTCGATATAGAATCAAAATTCAGATGCGTTGTCGCTCCTGAGGACTAAGATGAAATGTCTGTTACCAGTAAATCTCCTGGGTCTCCAGTTCTCTACACTTACTTGACCATACGCATGCGTGAAACAGTAGCAATAATCTGCTATTTCACCATGGTATTCTGTGAGAGTGTGGTCCCTCCCCGGTCGAGCTGACCCATTCATATTGCAACCATAATGAAACTTCAGCGTGGCTCTATCATATAAATATTCACTTTTCATCACATGAATACGATTATAAGTGCATTTAACAAATTAACGCATGTTTCGATGTCAGTGTGTAGTTTGCTGTCTTTTAGCATGTTTATAAACCCGCTTCGACCTTAACTTCAATTTCGCCTTTACTGGACCAGTTGTCCACGGGGCCGATGTTGAGGACGAGATTTCAAGAATTGAAGTCATAAATGACGCACCATGCTCCTGTGCGGTACTCAAATCATATATTTATAATTGTTGATAGTGCATAGCAATATGTAGCATTGGTGCCACGAATAAATTAAAGATTAGTGATAAAACCAATTAATGAATCATAATAGTTATCATATCATAATATTAGTTTTAAAGCATTGTCATTGTGTTAATATCATGATAGTAATTACATTTCTAACAATTTCGTCATTCACATGAGAGCTTATATCTAATACAAAACTAAATACCAGCTATTGAACTGGGCAAGGCAATATAATACAAATAAACTTATTTAATGTTTTATTATATTTACGCGAACACTAGACATTGAATAAAATTAATTTTACGGATTTTATCGGGTTTAATTATAGATACTTATTAATAAAGCCATCGTCGTCAAGGCAGTATTACTCAGACATTGCCTCACATCTGGCTATCTATTGTGGAAGGAAGGGTTTTACAAGCAAACAGATGGTGCTACGATGGGCTCACCGGTATATCCCACTGTTGCAGATATATTCTGGAGGACTTTGAGGAGAAAGTCCTCCTTACTGAACGTGTAACTCCAACGGTCTATATCCAAAATAATGGAATGCATTATAAACTGCCAGCTCATGAGGAACCTAGAGGATCATCAGCTGATTAGTGACCGCCAGTACGGTTTTCGTCGGGGACGATCAGCTGGTGATCTTCTAGTCTATCTGACTCATAGATGGGCGGAGGCAGTAGAGTCCAAGGGGGAGGCATTGGCCGTTAGTTTGGACATAGCGAAGGCCTTCGATCGGGTGGCACAAAGCGCTTCTTTTGAAGCTTCCTTCCTATGGGCTTCCCGAGAAATTGTGCAAATGGATCACCAGTTTCCTTGCTGATCGGTGCATCAAGGTCGTAGTAGACGGTGCATGCTCTGATTTCAAGCCTATCAACGCTGGTGTTCCACAAGGCTGCGTGCTATCACCAACGCTGTTTTTCCTGCACATCAATGATATGTTGCTAACCGCTATGCGGACGACAGCACTGGTGATGCCTTATATTCCGGCCGTGCCAATATTTCTCGGGAAAACGTCGCCGAGTACCGGGACAAACTTGTGTCTGAAGTCGAGTCTTTGCTTAACAAAGTCTCGGATTGGGGGCGACTAAATCTAGTCCAGTTCAATCCCCAGAAGACACAAGTTTGCGCGTTTACCGCTAAAAAGAACCCCTTTATCGTATCTCCTCAGTTTCAAGCTACTTCCCTTGCTGCCTCAGCTAGTATCGGAATCCTTGGCGTCGACATATCGAATAGTGTGCAGTTTCGTGGTCACTTGGAAGGGAAGGCCAAATTGGCTTCTAAAAAGCTTGGAGTGGAAAGCGAGACAGTATTTCATGCCGGCACATCGCTTGCAACTTTACAAAGCGCAAGTTCGGCCTCACATGGAATACTGTTCTCATCTCTGGGCCGGAGCACCCCAGTGCCAGCTCCTTTCACTTGACCGCGTCCAGCGCAGAGCTGTTCGAATCGTCGACGACCGAGTTCTTTCTGATCGGCTCGATACACTGGCACTACGTAGAGATGTTGCATCTATTTGCGTATTTTATCGCATCTATTACGGGGAGTGCTCTGAGGAATTGTTCGGATTAATTCCAGCCGCTCAATTTCACCATCGCACATCGCGACAAAACTCGCGTTACCATCCATACCATCTGGATGATAGGCGGTCCACCACTGTGCGATTTAGAAGAAGTTTTCTCCCTCGCACAACTTCCTTGTGGAATTGATCACCGCCAACAATTTTTCCGGGCCGATACGACTTAGGAACCTTCAAGAAAAGAGCTTACACCTTTCTAAAAGGCCGGCAACGCATCTGCAATTCCCCTGGTGTTGCGGTTGTTCATGGGCGGCGGTAGTCACTTACCAATCAGGTGAGCCGCATGCTCGTTTGCCCCCTCTTGTATTAAAAAAAACGTTCAACATGCGGTACGTAGACGATACTTTCAAAAATTTTTACCTGCTTAAAAGTAAAAAAAAAAGTTACAGCCTATATACTTCCCACTGCTGGGCATAGGCCTCCTCTCATTTCTGAGAGGGGTTTTAAGGCAAGGAAGTGTCCGATGCGCTGCCCCAGAGTGTGTTGGTGAACTTCACATGTCATCGAAATATTTTTTTTCTTATTTCTCAGACATGCAACTTTCCTTACGATGTTTTCCTTCACCGCTGAGCACGTGGTAAACCAGCACTTAAAATTGCAATTAACAATTTCATTGGTGCCGGCGGGGACCGAAACCGGTTTGCTCGCGTACTGTGAAAGGGGAATGCCCAATTCTGGCCATGAAACGCCCAACAATTTGCATTTGTTAAAAAATATACATCTTTTTTATGGTAATTAATCGCAGTATTTATGTATCCAAAAAAGATTGCAATATTTTTCCACAAAAAAAGTACCGAAAAGATAAAAATGAAATTAGGTAAATCCGCAAGTCATTAGTTTGTGGGTAAAATAAAAAGTGTTGCCAATCACAAATCTCGTAAAAAAAGTCGATTCTGTTTTTTCAATCGATTTTTATGTTGTCATTATTATAATGGTAATATAATTTTCGATAATTATTATGATGTTATGATAATTAAACAAGCGAATTGCTAGTTGATTTACCATGAACTCCTTGGAACATAACAAAAACGCTACTGCACAATTTAACTGTTATTTTTATCTGTTCTTAAAAATATATTTAAAATGGAATTTAAATAAATAAATCAAAACATATTTTAAAAGGTGTGCAGAACTTAAAGCGAATCAAAGATTATTCTTTTTATGAAATTATAAATCGATTAAAAAATCACTATCTATTTATCGATTTTATGTCTGTTAATTGGCAACATCGAATCTGACAGCTAGGCCCATTTCATAATTATCAAAACTAAATAGTCACAAGTCGAATGACTTTGCATTTGTGTTATTTTGTTTGTTTTCTCGCGGATTTGTTGTCTAAGTAACGAATAAGCTTTCTAAATGGATTCCGATAATTCTTCTCGCCATATTGACCACGGCCTGAAAATGGATCCCGCTCCCACTTCTTACGATAACCTCTGCACGAACTTGGACTCGATATCCACTGTTAACGATGACCCCAGCTTTCCGTTACCCAGAGTTCTTCCTAGCTCTCAGTAACTCACTCAAGAACACATTAACGCTATGTCAATTGTGGTTTAAATGTCACGAAAATAGGAAGTCATTTGTTGTTAAAAACTGTTCTTGTGAAAATAAAAAACCTTTATATCTTAAAAATCCGGACTTTTTTTAAACCAATTCCTAAACCATTTCATTATTTTAATTGCATATTATCATTTCCACATGCTTTTATATGTGGGCACCTATGGCCGAAGTGTCTATGAACGGTGGGCATTCCCCTTTACAGCGAGCGTTAACCATCTGAGCTACCACGGCTCCTACCACCTGCTTGGGATCCTGTAATTAATAAAATTAAAACTAAACCCAAGCATATCGCTCCAAGACTTCAAGACACAGTAAGTTCATTCTGCGTAGATCGGACCAAAACTAATAATTTAAAAGCTGAAGGTACTCAGGGTTAACTCTGACTTCGGGACCTCAATCACCTCAGTCCCCCGTGACCATGGGTGCCGAAAAGCATCCGAAACGACGGGAATTTAAAATTAGGTATACGATAAAATCCGTAAAATCAGTTTTATTCAAAATAGCTTATTATTTAAAATAGCTTGTTATTTACTAACTCTATAATAATTTTCAGTAAAGTTACAAAATTTATTTTACTTACTATAATCTACGTTGGGATGTACACTTGGTATTCTTAGGTATTCTCTAAACCTCTGTAGCACTTCATCGTTATCCCATTTAGTGCACATTATTAAATGAAACTTCTAACGGGCTCAGGTGGCGTATTGTTTTGTACTGAATACACAGCACGTCATTTGCCAACACAGCGTTGATAATGCCATTTTATCTTATTTACACACGAACTGATCGTGTTAATAAATAATAAATTAAACGTGTAAGCAATTTTGACTTTTAACACAAAATATTACAGTTTATAATTAATTAATAACTTTCTTTCTTAACCCGTGTAATATGTAAGAGAGAAGATATTTAGTTTTGTGATATTCCGTAAGGTTATTATTTTTTATGGTAAATTAACACTCACTGTCCGGTTTTCAGACACAATAGTATGACAATATTTAATAGTAAGACCTATATGTAATGCACGGAACAGCGACAGGGTTAAGTTAAAGTTAAAAATATTGACGGTGATTGACGGCTCCATAGCGCCGCGGATTCAAATACTGCACGGAGCAGGTGTTTGTATGGCCTAAAAATAATTGTTTCAGGTATATGTGTGTGTGTCCTTTCCATTTTTATCATATATCCTCGATTAGGAGTCAATATGCAGATACGTTAGAGTAATTTAAATTACAAGGGTAAACCTCTGACTAAAATTACTATCATATTAGTCACATTCTCTTCAGATACTCTTTGCAAACAGAGCCTCCAGTTCTCTCAGAGACTCACAGACGAAACACAGCAGAATTATGCTGCTATTTCACACTGGTTAGATGATGACGCTGTGAGAAAAGACCACACCTTCCTCGGCGAGCCGACCCATTCATCCTTCAGTCATAATGCAGCGTGGTTCTACCACGTACCTATCGTCATCATTATAATCATTAACACCCATCACAAGTCCACCACTGAACATAGAACATAGGTCCCCGAAAGAATGCAACAAAGTTTCTTTTAATTAAATAGAATTAGGATGACTAATGAGCTCACTGTGACCCAATGGTAAGTGGATGCTGTGGCCCATAGACATCTACATTTATCCTCAATTAAGAATCAAATGCAGATAGATGGATTGTCACATCTGAGGGCAGAGATTGAAAGCATCGTTGCCAGGAAAAAGGGTCTCCGATTCTCTACACTCACCATACGAAACACAGCAGCGTTAAGTTGCTATTTCACGCTGGTATTCTGTGAGAGTGTGATCCGACCACGGTCAAGCTGACCCATTCGTGCTGCAGCATGGCTATACCACTTAAAAACTTGACAGCTGCCTCAAAGTACATGAGCCACATGTATCCATTGCCTTGTTGTATATCTTATCAGGTCGTCACATCTAGCGATGGATTGCCCTGCACTTCACTACGAGGTTGCCACTGAAGAAGCTTTCTTCCCTATCGGCTGTGCCCACCTAAAAATACACACAGAATACCTGTGTCAAATATCAGCTTAGTGCTTATGTGTTTCGTAAGGTGAGTGTGGAAAATCAGTGATCCTTTTAATTAGTCCTCAGGGGTGACAACGCTTCTGCATTTTGATTCTTAATTGAGGATAGATGTAGAATGTATATGTGTCACAGCATCCTCTTACAATCAGGTGAACTGTGTGCTCGTTTGTCACCCTCATTCTATTTCTTTTTTTAAACGTTATCCCCACACTATGATTTTCTCCTGTATCATGGAGGCAGTTTACAAACATAATTTGCACAAGGAAAAACATCCAGACTCGGAGCAATTATTTGTTGGCCATACAAATACTTGTTCCGTGCGGGATTCGAACCCGCGGCCCCCAGCGCATCAACCCTCATTCTATAAAAAGACTATATCTTAACAAAACGACAGTATTAAAAAAGGAAGTTAAATTATATTCCCTCTGAGAGCAGTTTTTGTCATTCATTTTTAGGATACCGTATCTAAAGCGTTGGAAGGCACACCTATTGTTATAGCAATCTCTGTCTACTCATGTGACGTGGGCTTGAAACCTGTCCAAAAAATTAAAATTTGGTTTATAAAATTTTGTCATGCTGAGTAAGCAATTGACGTGATATTATTAAATACTATGAAATACATTCAATAAATACCGAAATGCATCTATAGGTATTTTTCAATACTGTTTGTGTAAAATTAATGTTATAAGACGTAAAACATCCAGGCTGGCGACGGAGAGTAGCATGCAGGTAGAAGAGATAATTATCCTTCCTACAAAGAAAGAGGCCAATACCCTTCAGTGGACGTTTACAGGCTCATAAAAACAAAACAGGCTGATATATGTAAAGAACAAAAATTTTATTAAACCTTTAAAATTAGAAATTAGGATACCTGCAAGTTTTTTTTTACTGAATAGTATAATAAATATAATTTATTCAATTACCTAATTAAAGTTTTGATTTTGTATATTTTATTGCTTATTATTATTTTATACACTATTCTACAAAATCTTCCTTATTTATTTCAAAACGCAAGTAGATAGCTTAATGTGGTGGGTGCAACAAGTGTAGCGTTATAATAGTGGTACTGGTTGTTGCATATTCGACCGTACGTTACTCACTAGAGGGCGCACTGAAAATCAGCTTCGTGGATAATACCACGAAATAATGCTGAGTGTAGCCCTTTTATACCAAACCCACACACATAATAAAATTTTGATTGTAATGATTTTATTTATGTTTTAATTTTGTTTTGATCTGTAGTTATAAATTTTTTAGTGCATAATATCTTTTGTAACATGTGTGTTGGTGTATGATGTAATAAATAATTTTTCTTTCTTTCTTTCTAATAGACTAGATTTTTAATGTATCATAATACAATAAAATTTATAATGTACATAATTATGAATAATAAATGTATGAAATGAAACGTTGCAACGAATCATTCGTCAAACGGAACGTGACACTATGAAATCGGCGCGAAACCCTCCTACGCGGGCCTTTCAAAAATCACTACATTCGCGACGCGAGAACCATACTGAGATCTGTCGTGCGCCTTTCGCCTCTCGTCTCGCAATAAAAATACGAGTGTATTTTTATAAAAATTTGTGGCCTGGCAGGAATATTTAATTTATCAATATAGATATAGTGACTGTGAAAAATGGTTCGAAAAATCAGTGCCCTCGTGTGTTGTCTCTGCGTTTTTGGTATTTCATCGAGCGACAGCGCAATTTCAGCGGAAAAAGTATGGCTTTTTTAAATATTCTGTTACGTTTAAAATTATAATTTTAAAAGTAATTTATACATGTAGGTATACAACACAATATAAAAATAATATTTACTAAGGCGATCACGCAAATATGACACTTTGTGCCCATTCCGCTCTAGTTTCCCACTGGTGACCTTGAAAGCGTGTGACAAGTTAAATAGACCTGCACAATCTCCCGTCCGGTAACATTGTTATTGAAATTTAAACAATTAGCATGAACAACAATTGTTTTTGTTAATAAAAAATTGTTAATTATACAATATACTTACTTATTCTTTATTCTATTTATTTATTTTTGTATTTTTATAAAATTCAAGTGACAAACAAACTTACCTTAACTACTCTGATGCTGAATGACTGCTTGAGGCTATGTACACCACCAGCCAATTTTAAATAAATAACGATATATATGCGTTGTCACTTCTAAGATGGAATGCCTCACAGCAGCAGCAGAAATAAGTAAAAGAGCGATACATATACAGATGCAACCGCATCTTTCCCGCTTCCTTTGGTTTGAAGGATTTGGTATGGGAAGGCAATAAATTATTACAGCAATGAGGCTTCGTTCTGGACATATTCCATTAAACAAATTTGCGTTTATGATGAGAAAAGTGAATTCACCAAATTGTGTCAAATGTGCGGTTCTGGAAGATACTATCCATATTATGATGGAATGTGAACGGAAGGAAGCATATAGAAAACTATTAGATTATGACAAAAATAATGTTGGATTGTATAATAGTATTTTAGGTTTTCCATTGTCGGATAAGGTTAGAAAACTTTATAAACTAGTATTATTAGGTATTAAGAACAGATATTTTTTTTTATTATTATTGTTTACGTGAATTTATCATTGTCTGATTATGTGTATTTTATTGTGTACCTATGAGGGTGACATGATCCAGTGGATGAACCCCTCTATAATTAATAAAGATTAAGAAAAAAATATATATATAGACGGAACTGGGCAGAAAAAATCCTTACATCACCTAGACATCTAATTCTATCCGCGATTAAGAATCAAAATGCAGATGCATTGTCATCCCTGAGGACTAAGATGGAATGCCTCGTTTCCTGAAGAAAGGGCCTCGGTTCGACAACACTCACCATACAAAACACAGCAGTACAAAATATTACCTAATTCTTGTTTTTACAAATCTTGACACAATAAGTCTTTTATTTTAAAATTATTATTATGTTTTACCAAATACAAGGCAAGAATTAAAAAAATTGAAATTTACGGAAAACAATTTGTTTTCATATAAATATCGATTTTATGGCGTGAAAATGATGTACTTACCTTATATTACCACTACACGTCTTTTTCCTTCGTTCCGTAGAAAGGCCTTATTCGATCAATCGATTATTAGGACGATCAGTAGTCGATTCGATTATTAGGACGATCAGTAAATTTTACTGTATCTAGTGTAATAGTGTGAATTTACTATACATGGAACCTGAATTCTTATATTATACTTTTTATATTGGCAACATTTTGAAAAATATTGTTTTGTTCTTAATTTTTTTTTTTCACTTATCAATGATTGTCGGTAGGTGTAAAAATATCGGTTTGAACAACTTCGATCAATCTTACTACAATAACAGTTTTGTAGATGACTAGCGATCACACACTCCATCTGTTAATAAGTGGATACTATGGTCCACCAATTCCCAATTAAGAATCAAAATGTAGACGGCTACACCTGAGGACTAAGATAAGACCCGGTTCTCGCCACTCTCCATAACAACATAAAACGGTACACCGCGGCTCTACCACAAAAATCCAGTTAGATCAAAAATGTTTTAAAATTATGTATATATTTATATTTACATTGCTTGCAACACTTAATAATTGGAAACTACTCTAAGATAAAAGTAAAAGTTTAGCAATTAGCCTTCTCATAAAGTTTTCCTTCACCGCTATGCACGTGGTAAATCAATATTTAAAATTGCAACTGTCAATTTCATTAGTGTCGGTGCGGATCAACTTAGGTTACTCTTATCTTAGTCCCCGAGCTTCCAGACATAGATACAGACTACTGTATTTAGAAAACGTAATATACATTATGTAAACCGATGTTTTTATTGTAAACAACGTTGAGTGGTGACATCCAAGTCACTTCACGCATCACGTAAGCTGCAAGCACTGCATTCACAAAACGCAAATGTCAGATGTCTTAAACATTTTGTGCGTACAAAATATTTCTAGTGAAAGTAAACGTAATCATGAAGCGTAGTACTGTCATAGTAGAAGTTAATTATAGTTTTCCAAACCATTTGTTTCACTAGGTATTTGGTTATTAAGAAATTTAAACGCTTAAATCAAAAACATAAAGTTTCTGAGAGCATACCCAACCAGGTATGTACATAGGCTTTACTTTAAATAAAGTTTAATTTAACTTTTAATAAAGTTTATCGCTCTCAAGTAATTAATATTCTCTATTCATTATTAACTACGGTAAAGTTAAATATGATTTTCATTCATTTGTATATTTGTCGTGTGATCACGGATTTCGTCGCTCTATTTCGGTCCATGGGTAACATGGGTTACCTATAACAGTCAACTATACCAAATGTATAGTAGATATACCAAATATATCGTAATATCGTCTATTGCCAGACAAACCTAGATACGAATAGTATCAATGGTGCGAAAATATAATAATTATAAGTAATTCTTTCTGCTATAAAAGATGTAAATTTTCCAGTAGTTTCCGTCATTATCATTATCGTTACAGCCTTTGACAAGCCTTACATAAGTCCAATGCTGAACATATGAATCCTCCAAGGAATGTCACAAAACACGGTCCGGAGCCCCATGCATCCAACGACATCCATGCACGATGCTTACAAGTTTAAATACTACTGCACGAGTTTAAATTTATATACTGTATTTATTGTATTGCTATAAAAAATAAACAGCAACATGATACCTAGTAGAAATAAATTCTCAACACATGTTTCGCATATTGTTTTACAACTTATGAAAGCGTAACTGATGTTAAAAATGCAACAAAAAAGAAGAACACGAACGTTCAAATAAACGTAAATTATACATAGGTTATCAGATAAACGAAGACTGCTAAATGTTTACGAACCCTGTCGTAATTGATCGCATCTTATATCTTACGTAAACCAGTCAGTGAAAAAAATATATTTTGTTTTTGTACCTTATTCAACTTAACCAGAACATCTTTCTTTGGTAAACATAGATGATTTGTGTCTGCACTTCACTTCTAAAGGTCTGTAGTTCTAACTTCTAGTCTCTCAAGTATCATATTCATTCATTGCAGCCCATCACAAGACTACTGCTGAACATCGGTCTTCTCCATATATTACCACATGGGAAATCCATCCTTTCATCCATCCATTACAGCCTATAAAGTCTACTGCTGAACATAGACCTCTCCCATAGATTGCCCAATAGGGAGGACTTTGCCATAGTTACCACGCTTGGCAGGCGGATTGGCAACTGCAGTTTTTTATTATTTTGGGTTTTATCACAAAGATGCTGCTGCCCATCTTCTGTTTCATTTTCCCCCCTCTCGCCTCTATCGTCCCACGGGACAATACGAGGTCCACAGGATATAATTTGACATAATTTCAAAAGATAATGGCTGGCGAGTTGGCAACCGCAGTTTTTTTTATTATTGTTGAGGTATTATTGTGAGGATCCTGCTGTCCGTCTCATGTTTCAGTTTCCCTCTGTCGCCACATACGACACCCATAAGATCCATGATAATCACTAGTTGTATCCATTAATATTTATTCTTCATCTTCTTGATTACCGTAAGTCCTCTACTAGCTGCTAGACATACAAATGTAATCCTCTACTGTTATAGAAGTATTTGTCATAACCGTTTAACTTGACGGTCGTCTCGTCTTTTTTATATTTTTAGCCGACTTTAAAATAAGGAGGACGTTTACAATTTGATCTTTTGCGTACCTCGAACGTAAATTTCGCAAGCTTGGTCTTTACTGTCAACTTGACAAGTTCATGCAATTCGCTCTCATAATTTTTTGTATGTGTAACGCGATTTCTTCGTTAGTTGTGAACCGATTTTGATGATTATTTTATATAGGATACACTTCAGAGATGGTTCTATATAAATTTGGTAACTATTTGGACGGCGTTGAGATTGTGATAATGTTTAGTCTACTGAAAAGGGTAAAACAACTTTTAAAAGACTTAGAGGAAGAATAAAACAATTTCACATTCTGAAGTCGTGGCTCTGATTCTTCTCTACACTATGTCTTAGCACTGACTTCAGAATGTAGTTATATTATACTTATTAGTTCTTTGAAGTCAGTTTTTACTTTTTATTAAAGGACTAGCTGTTCGCCGCGACTTCGCCTGCGTGTAATTTAGGGTTTTAATTTTTTTTGCGCGGAACCCTTATTATTTTTCGAAAATTAAAGTAGCCTAAGTTACTCCTTATAACATCAGTTATCTGCCAGTGATCCCATCATAATCGGTCCAGCCATTTCGGAGATTAGCTGGAACAAATATACAGACAGACAGACCAAGAAATATTTTAAAAATTGTGTTTTTGTTATAAGTACCGTATATACTTTCATATGCATTAAGTAAAAAGCTGTTATTTTGACATTACAAACAGACTAGCCTAAACGAGACAGTTATGCTGTAAACCATAAGATCTTTCTAATATTTCCCACAGTCCCTTCTTACAACGCCTATAGGAAGAGATAGTGTAATGGATTTCCTTTCGTGGCCACCATTCGACAATGATATTTATAAAAAAAGGTATCGTTATAATATTGTGACAAAGCTTGCTTTTTTCCAAAAAATATTACATCTCATAATCATAAATTCGTTGGTATGTACAAGAACTAAAAAAAAATTGAGCAAATACTCTCACAGAATACCAGCGTAAAATAGCAGCTTAAATGCTACTGTGTTCCGTATGGTGAGTGTAGAAAGCTGGAGACCCTTTCTACTGGAAACAAGGCATTCC